GCTCACGCTTTGCACCTTCCTGTCTCTATCACCATTGTGATGCACAGAATGCAGTACAGTAAAATCTGTAACTAAAGACCACCGTGACTAGCGATCAGCCTGGTACTACAGACCACTTTGCCAGGCACGGACGATCTCACGTTCATATATGGTTGTGTGGTGCAAACCTCTAACTAAGGACCACCTGCCACTAAAGACCGCTTTCTCTGGCCCCGAGGGGTGGTCGTTAATTACAGGTTTTACCAAGAGTACATAACCCCCCCCCAGAGTGTGCAACGCCGATCCAGCTCTGCATAGGGTCTTGGTCGAGCGGAATCGGATCTTCTGATGTCATGCGTACACTCCACACCAGCGCAAGGCCGGTCTCGAGGCAGGGCACCGTTGTTTTTGATCAGAGAGTACCCGCGACTCCCCGGGTTCTCCTCAGATGTGTACGGTATTATGACGCAAAGATCCGATTCCGCTCGACCAAGACCCTATGCAGAGCTGGATCAGGCGTTGCACACTCTGGGGGTTATGTACTCTTGCTTTTACTGTACATGTATAGTCGAGACACTTTGCCTGCAGATCTCATTTTGGTGGATTGGCAGGTATTCCTTTGCAAAAAGAGATTGCTTTGTCGGAGTTCAATACGCATGTGTACAGTGTTTCTGTGCTTAGAAGTACTGTAAAAGCAGAAATTTTCCGTGGTGTTTTTTTTCTCGATAACTTTGGTGCCGACAATTTTTAACTAAAATAAAACGCACCGAAAATTTCGGTACTAGTACTTGTACACTTACCTGGAAAACGGGTTTACCGAAAGTTTCCCTCCACCGAACTGCCGATTTTGGAGAATACCGAAAATATTACACCGCCGAAATTTTCTGCTTTTTACACATGTACAGTACATGTAGTCAAGCTGTGCTGTGTGTGTTTACAGGACGTTTGTACTTGCTGGTGCTAACTGTTAGTCTAGTTCTACTTCAGAAGTATCTATTCACTGGTCTAGTCTGTGTACATGTATATGGTCTAGTCTGTGTATATGGTCTAGTCGGTGTATATGGTCTTGTCTAGTTCTATTCTAGTCATTGGTCAATGAGTCACTCATTGTCTAGCTCTATCTCATTGTCTAGCTGTATCTCGTAGTAGCACAGGTGTTGATTCAAACCACACAAGTGCGGTGCTTTGAGAGCTGGGGAATTTTTGCTTCTAACCTCTTCTTCTTGCTGCTTCCTGCTGCTGCTGCTGCTGCTGCTGGCGCTGCTGTTGCTGCTGTTGTTGTTGTTGTTGTTGTTGTTGTTGTTGTTGTTGTTGTTGTTGTTGTTGTTGTTGTTGTTGTTGCTGCTGCTGGTGCTGCTGGTGCTGCTGCTGCTGCTGCTGCTGCTGGTGCTGCTGCTGTTGTTGTTGTTGTTGTTGTTGTTGTTGTTGTTGTTGTTGTTGTTGTTGTTGTTTTATTTGTTAAACATTTAGCGAGGTGAAGCCACTACGAAATGCGTGTAAGGCGTATCAGCGCTCGTCAGCTGAGTGTGATAAGTGAGTTGTATGTGAATCCTTGTGAGAGAGCTTTCTCACCATGAAGTATGTGCATGAACCACAGGGTTTCTTTCTGCACAGTCTGTCTTTTTCTTCACATTTTCTTCACATACTCCATCAAACTTAACACTTAACCTTGCTGTCTTATTGAAAATCAAAAAAAGAAGAAGAGAAGGAATCAGAATTCATCCCACTTGTGGATATTCGTAAATCAGAAATTGAGCTGGAAATTAGCACCTCGGTTTTGGCCAATAAATCTCTTCTGAAGTGCGTTCTCGTGTGGCGCCTTCAAAGTTCAAACCATTTTGGACAGTCTCCCCCCGCTTGTGTTCTCGAACCTTTTGCATCTGTCTTTCTTGCTGTGTCTCAGGGCTTACACGAAAAGTTGCAGCATGTCACGGCACAACGTAGCAGGCGCCGAGGCAGCGCAGCGCACTCTGGAGACGTGCCGTAGCTCCCTGACCGAGGCCTCGCTCGACTACTCCATATCGGTATGGCATCACCGATTGAGGCATGTATTGGTCTTTTTGCTCTGTGAATAAGCCAGGCTAAGAGTTTTGTGCATTGCGGCTCTTTGTTTCTTGCCGGCAGCTGAATCATATGAAGTGGAAGAAGTGCATCGGAGTTGCGGAGCGCGTAAGTTTTGAGAAGACATGTTTGTCATGGTTACAGTGTTGTACAGGCACACGATCGTGACCATGTAAAAAATTCACGGTTCGCGTCAGACTCGGCTAGAGACCGAGTTTTCTGCATCCGTAGGAACGCCACCACCCTTCAAGGATCATGCAAGCATAGTTAATAGTACTTCTGTAGTACCCGGATGTGGTGATACAGGTACCGATGACTGTTATGTGGACCACCAGTCCTTTTTACCAGTGTGTTTGCACAATACAGCTTTAGACCAAGGCTAGTAATGTGTTGTAACTCTGAACGTTATGCAGACAGTGAAGTCATCAGACAACATTAGGACTGCTTTTATGTAGTACGCCTGTTTCGATAGATCCTTATCCCCCAGGGTTGTGTTACGTTCCACATTGGTCCCCCATGTGGAGCAGAAGACGTAGTGACCATGTTTGCCTCGTCCCCTCTCACCGGTGTGCAGGTTCTGGACTTGGCTAACTGTTATTCATCGTTCATCGCCACCTGTTCGGATTCCACCAGCAGGATCAAGGAGCAGCGGCAATGCCTTTCGACCGAGGTAAGGGGTGCTTTCTAGTTTCTGACTACCGTGCAAGCACAGCTATTCGTTGGGAATTTGCCTTCGTCTTTTTTCGTCCAATGAGTTAGCAGAATAAATTTAATCAATGCAGGACTAAATGTCGATGTGTATAGCCTTCTAGTACGTTTCAACATCCGCAATGAATTTTGCAAGTGACGCACCAAAAACAAAGACCATGGCATTATTCTAATGTGTGTATGTCTAGATCATGCTTCACTATTCATTCATTGTTCACTCAAATCTGTGTTGAAAGGCCTCCTTTTGGCGTTAGCAGTCACCTCTGTGCACCTTACAGTCCGTTTCAAAAAGATTTACAACCCTGGCGATCGCCCACGGAGTTTGGCGTCTTACCGTATGAGCACTCGAGCGCTGCCTGGAAAAACTCACTGTGAACTCGAAGAAATATTTCGCGCGAAAGCAGGAAAAATGACAACTCACTCACGTTGACACAGTCATGGACGTACGTCTGGTTTACAACAAACGAGTTCTTCCTCGTATCGATAATGGAGTCAGAGAGGACATGTCGAAACGAAAGTGTTGACGAGCGGCATGTGTCCCAATCCGTTTTGTGACCAAAATAGTTTCTTTGAGCTGCGATGCAATTTACTCACCGTGTGACGAAAACGACATCGACACGGACTCATTCCCAAGGCCATGACTTGGCAAAGCTATCCGTGTGACTTCGACGACATTTTGAGAAAAACAGACGCTTGTGAACGCTGATATAGAAGACGGCGTTGACTGCTAAATTCAAATAAATTGGCGATCTTGAAATACTAAAAATAAATCTCAAAAAGCTACAGCGCGATGACTTCCATATTCACTCACACCATAGCAGTGTTGTGGGTGTGTTCACATGGCGTGAGCCAGTCAAGTGTCAGTCAGTTCGGCAGGAAGCGCGACCTCCAACAACAAGTCGTTTGGTGCAGCCATCTTCTTTGTCTTGTACCAGCTTGATCACCAAAACAATGAAAAAAAGTTTGACTTGAGGATAGGTTGGGATTTGAACTCACAACTTCATGGTCAGCAGACAGCATTCATAACCACAAGGCCAAAAAGGAAAGGATAAATCGTGGGTTTTGATGAAAAATCGATACTGGCTTCCTGGGCAAATTGTAAACCATGGGAAAAGGCCGGAAACCTGGCCGAAATTCTAACTCCTTAACGGTTGGTCCAATTGTTCCGAAACCTTCACAGAACAATTTGCCGTGACCTAACAACCCATTCTATGTACTTTGTTGTCCAAATTTCCCTTATCTTCATACTTTTTAAGACCCAAACTTGATTGTAAATCTTTTTGAAACAGACTATAGGAGATTTCCACCAGTATACTCCCGTTGGCTGTTGATTGAAGTGAAGTGATGCGATTGTTACGGGCATGCATCCATCCTGCATACACCCTTTCAAAGGACTGTCGATTGAAGTAAAGTGATATGATGTCATGTGATGGTTACGGGCATGCATCCATCTATCCTGCTTCTCTGCAGGTCGCTTCTCTTACGACGGCTGCCTCGGCCGAGCGGAAGATGATGGATGACCTACGGCAGAGCCTGGAGCAGGCCAATCGCAGCGCTGTGTTTAATTCGGCGAAGGACGCCGATTATGTTCCGGCAGAGTGAGTTCAGTTCTGGCTGGCAATGACTGGAATTGTGTTCTTGTATCCTAGCATGTGTGTCCTCGCGCAGTGTTCTAGGCAACATCTTGCGCTGTATAAACGCTTCATCTGACACACGATTGTACGAGTATGATGTTAGCTTGTGCTTTGTGCTACCCGTTTGTGGGCCGAACCTCGGGCAATATGTACCGCGTTGTGTGATATGTAAGAATATTCGTCCGAAGACGATCGACCCACGACCATAGAAGACTGTATTAGAATATAATTTATTACTACGACATTGTCACAATGTGGTGACAGGAAACACAACAACTGGACTCCCCAGTCAAAGGAAACGAACCACGCCAAAACCGTTTGGCTGCATCCACAAAAGGATAAAAGACGCGCAAATATGAATGCTCAAAAAGACGCAAACAATCACAATCCGGAGTGGAATAATTACAACTCGTCACATATCTGACACGCGTGTCCAACATAGTGCTGTACTGAGTAAAAGTCGGCGTTTGACGGCATACTTTGTTCAGTTCCTGTGTTTACCTGCTGTAGTGTTTCATGCCTGAACTTCAGTGGTGATGTTAGATACACACGCTATGTGCTGTGGCAGGCAGAGCTTCAGTGACATTGCCTCGATCAATGGCTACTTGCATGCTACCTCACGAGTTGCTGCAGATGTTTTGTTGTGTGACGTCCATGCTGCGATGAAGCTGGGCCAGCTGCAATGAAGTCGCTTGCTGACGCTTGCTAGCTGCTGTAGGAGTTAACGTGTGTGTACTCTGTGCTGTGCAGGTAGTGAGTTCTCGACCTACCCGTTTTGTGGAGCCGTAATATTTATTTCATTTTATTCTGTGCCGTGTGCAGTGCTGTGGTGATGCAAGGCTACTTGCTCAAACGCAGTAAGAGTGCTTTGAAGCTGTGGACGAATCGCTTCTTCTTCATCAAGAACAACCAGCTGGCGTACAGCCATCGGAAAGGCGTAAGTCTTCAGTACATGTACTGCATGGAGAGTCGGTTCAGGCCCCTGTAAGCGGTGTGCGTGTGTTAGTGTGCGAGGCCCTGCATGTATTTTCTTTCGGTCCCCTGTCAGCCTCGCTGAATATGCTCACAGTGTGTGCACTTGTCAATAGCCTTGGGTTAGGGTCTAAGGAGTCGTGGTGGTATTAAGTCACTTTTAAGTTCAAGGGGCTAGTACACCTGCTTAATGCTTCATTTTGCGTACGGGAAACGTGTCGCTACGTTTGTCGCGGCGAAAAAGTTGACTTGAGTTCACCTTGTTTGGTCCATCGGGTAACCGCCACCGTACGCGAAATGAGATATGAATTGGGCTTTAAGGGACCCTCACTTCATTTTTACAGAATTTCCAGCAAGAAAAACCTTGTCGGCACTCAGACCTCTCACGAGACCCGCTCGGATCATGTGAGCTTGGCACCTGAGCTCGGACTAGCTAAGGTCACGAGCTGGTCAAAGGTGCAGCTGGCAGGAAGGCAATCTGAAAAGTTTGTTTTGATGTTTTGATGCCTGGTCACTGTGCCCCAGACCACAACTTACAGCCTGTTTAGCGCGCGTTCGTGTCGCTCGAGTTGAGCCTTGCTGCGAAAGTTGTAGCCTGCAGGCACGGTGACCAGGTGAATTGTGTGCGCATCGTAGCCTACGCGCTGTGGCATCATTCCTGATCCACAGCAAGAAGGCAGCAATGCCTGTACCTATGGTGAAGTAACATAAAGATGACATAACGTCAGCACGTGACCGCTTACTCAACCGTGTTCGATTGGGAATAAGGGCCGAAAGCTGCATCGCAGCCTTCTCGGAGAAGTCGATCAAAGTTCAACTTTTGCGGCGTGCACCACTAAAGTGCAGATTACTAGCTTCTGAAATTTAATTTTCTGAGCTTGGGCTGGGAGTGATGGCGCAGGCAGCAGCAGAGCATTACTTCCTGTCCTTGCACGGTCGTTAGATCCTGGCCTTGCACGTGCCAGCACAATAACCCCCTGTTTTTTGGCAGTAGATAGCTGATTATTGCCTGAGATATTTTTTGAACTTTTGACATTCTTGAAGAGGATAGATAGTATCGCTGTCAGCAAGAGTACATGACCAAGAGCGTGCAACTCGCATCTTGAGCTGTGATGGGTTCACCCACGGCGGAATTTTTATTGCGTCATTCTTTGAAGTACAGTCAAACCTCTTTAGGACGAACATCAAGGGACCGACGGGATTTGTTCGTAATAACAGGAGTTCTTCTTATCCATATCTTATACCCAGTGACTACACAGTGATTTATCCAATAGAGTTATGAATACTAGTTTGTCTTAAGCGAAAGTTTGTTGTATCAGTGTTCTTTTTAACGAGGTTTCACTGTACATATATTAGCTGTTCAGTTTTGGCTAAACTGGAACCCCTGTACTGTAGAGACCTCTGGATCCGCCGCTGACTTCCTTTGGACTCACACATGATATCAGACAGCTGAGCCAGGCATTGGAACACATTTTTTTAATGAGAGTTTAGTCCACTACGCACACATACAGCACTGGGGAATGGGGGGGGGGGGGGTAGTAGTAGTTGAAGTGATGCATGAGGCGTGTGCCTTGCCGCTTACACTGGTAATGGTGTCGTCACTACACGGGGAGGAACTGAAGACAGCGCCCATAGGGGCTGCTGCAGTGCTAGGCTCCTGGGATAAAGTGTACCAGATCAGAAATCAGGACAAGCTGAAGATATAGCGGGCATGTGTTGCACCTTCTGCCATCCTCGTCTTCATCTTGGCACATGTGTGGTGAAATATTTAGCCATATTGCCTACAACTGCGCAGATTGCGTTGACGTCTCTCAAACCCTCCTCTCTGAAGCGAAATATGTGGTCGATCACCTCCTTGCTAATCCGCTGGCTATATTCGCTCATACATTGGTCAATGTCAGACATCACATCGTGGCCCGTGTGGCATGATGCGGTGGACACGCTCGCAATGAAACTAAGGAGACGAGGAAAAACACGAATGAAGCTAGAGAAGCAGAATCGTAGGTGTATTGTTTCCCCCTCATGAATCACAACAGATCAGAAGAAGTCATCTGCGCGGAATGCGTTGGCATCTCTCAGACCCTCCTCTGTGAAACGAAGTATATGATCGATCACCTCCTTGCTTATTCGCTGGCTAAACTCGCTCATACATTGGCCAATGTCAGACACCACACTGTGATACAGTGAAGCATGTGTTGCACCTTCTGCCATCCTCGTCTTCATCTTGGCACGTGTGTGGTGAAATATTTAGCCATGTTGCCTACAGCTGCGCGGATTGCGTTGGCGTCTCTCAGACCCTCCTCCGTGAAGCGAAATATGTGGTCGATCACCTCCTTGCTAATGCGCTGGCTATATTCGCTCATACATTGGCCAGTGTCAGACACCACATTGTGGCCTGTGTGGCATGATACGGTGGGCATGCTCACAACGAAGCTTCGGAGACGAGGCAAAGCGCGAATGAAACCAGGAAAGCAGACGTACGTGCATAGATTTTCACATCAGATACTAGTCAAGCCCACAGTCAGTCGTATTCAATATTGTACATCTCTGCAACAGAACGTTTGGACAGTAGTCCATCATCAGGTGCTGCCGCTGACTGTAGTGCAGCGCACAGCCGCTGCAATTGTCCAGCCCTTGCTCTGGTGATGGCCGAGGGAGACATATCGGCTTCCTTTACCGAGAATTCCGGGAACCGGATGACTCGCCTCAAGAAGCAAGAGGCTTCGCAGGTTATCTACGGGTTCCTGCAAGTCGTAAAGGCCTTCTAATTTGAACTTTTCACTGCTCCAGTTGTCCCGTCGGAACAGAAGGCAAGCTGTAAACTTTGAGTCTCGTCCTAAGTGCATGTTCTTATCTCTCTCTCCGAACGCCTTTTCCGTCTTCCTCACCACGAAACTTGCCGTGGGCAAGGCCGATCGGAGAAAATCTCCAAGGGCTTGTTTCCCATCAATTTGCTTTACCACTGCCATTTCGAAGTGTGACTCCAAGTCATGAAAACAAATTCCAGAGAAAAAAGGAAGGACGGCGGTGAGAAAGGAGAAAGGATCGTGGATCACGGACACATCGTGTTCAAGTAATTTCCAGCTGAGCCACAAGCGGATCTCCGGAATCTCCAAGGGCTTGTTTCCCATCAATTTCCTTTACTACTGCCATTTCGAAGTGTGACTCCAAGTCATGAAAACAAATTCCAGAGAAAAAAAGAAGGACGACGGCGAGAAAGGAGAAAGGATCGTGGATTGAATAGGGAAACATCCCCGACACAAGTGGTTTCACAGAACACATGTTTCGATTTTACAAATCTTTTTTAAAAGGACTGACCGGTTTCGCTGTCTAAGGCAGCTCATCAGAGTCTTCAAGTAGTTTCAAGCTGAGCCACAAGCGGATCTCCGGAATCTCCAAGGGCTTGTTTCCCATCAATTTCCTTTACCACTGCCATTTCGAAGTGTGACTCCAAGTCGTGAAAACAAATTCCAGAGAAAGAAGAAAGGATCATGGATCACGGGCACATCGTGTTCAAGTAGTCTCCAGCTCAGCCACAAGGGGCTCTCTTGAATCTAGACCTCTTGTTCTTGGCCGTTGACTTTATCTGGCACTCTCACGTCTAGCTCCCGGGTCTCAGCCGAAAAAAAAAGTTTCCTTTGCCGAGAAGTCTGTAAACATTGGGTGCGGGTCTCTTCATCCCTTTGTCCTTCACACTGTTCTTGTTTTTCTTTGTTGAACGCCTTGCTCCGCTGCAGGGCGAGCTGACGATAGTAGCGGAGGATCTGCGTCTCTGCACCGTCCGGCCTGTGCCGGACTCCGACAGGCGCTTTGTCTTCGACATTGTCACTCCAAACCGGTCAGTACTAGTACCTCAACTGGGAGGTGTTGATTTGTTTAAACCTCTGTGCTTCTTTCAGAAATGTATTGTTGTGCCTTGTGCAAGCGGTGCTATCAGCAGTGACCACGTGTAGGTTTTCATGCGTTTCGCAGATTTTTTGAATGGACTCACTGCTTTGAAGTTTGTCGTGAGTTTTTTTTCCGATAGTCATGATGTGTGCATGTGTGTGTGTGTGTGTGTGTGTGTGTGTGTGCGTGCGTGCGTGCATGTGCACATATTCCCGTGTTCGTTCGGAGAACACCGCAGATCATGCACACTTCAGGCGGAAAGTCAGGAGTTCTACGACGCCTGGATGGACGCGATACGGGTAAGCAGAGAGTAGCGCGGAGCTGAGTTTGCTGTTCGCATTTGCTTGCTGATTCAATTCCCCCATTCAGTTTATCACATCATACATTCGCCATCGTGCAAAGCTTGCTGTGTTTCTCGCAGTTATTACACTTTGCCTTTGATTCTTTAAGCCGGTTTAGAAATACTTTGCTGTTCATTAGACTTCACTGTGATCAGTTCGACCAGTAACTCTGAGCTCCGCTGATGAGACATAACACAGTCTAGGTGTCCAGAGATAGACAGCACACATGTATTGTTTGTCTCCCTGTTTCGTCGCTGGCCATTAACGAGGGTCCCTGGTTCGAGTCCTGGCGGTGGTAGTCAATTTGTTTCTTTCCGCCCTTTTCCTGTCTTCACCTCTCTCACACGTATGACTGTTTCATCTTTCTTGGTGATTTCCAACGTGCATGTGATGGCGGTAATTGTAAGCAGCTGCAGCGTCTGCAAGAAACTGGAAAAGAAAACGAACATTAAGACATAGGTGAAGCAGCATTGGCAGGAGAAGACTCCAACTGCAACAGATGGCGTTTCGAGCGTACCCAGACAGAAGGGAGCCGAGCGATCAGCTATCATTGTCTGCAGTAAAATGAGTCGGCTCTCTGTGCTGCCGTACCGTGACAGTGCCGCTGTGCGCCACACGGCCAGCGAATGAATCTCCACACCCACCACACTCTGAAAGTGCTAACTTCTGGAGCAAATGCACGCACAATGCATGAACGAGTACAGTCGTCCCTCTCTAATCCGGCACCTTTTGCTACTACGTTTTCTACTGGATTAACGAGGGTGCTGGATTAAGAAATCCTGCCCTCTGACCCGGCCCTACCCAATTGCATGCATGTATCATATGTCAAAACGCAGGGTTTTATTTATTATTTATTTATTATTACAACATCTCAAGACTCGGCGGAAACACCGGCCAATGTTACGAGAGTGGGTGATTGCCAACCACGGCAACCACGGTTTTTCCGTGTCGACCCAAGTATTTGGTGCACGGCTATTACCGTATATTCTCTATTATAAGCACCGTGCTTATATTTTTTCAACACCCCTCTACCCCGTGCTTATACTGGAGACCGCGCTTATATTGGAGACCGTGCTTATATTTTTTCAACCAATACATCCATACAGAGCAAGAAGAAATACATGCTAGATACCATGCATGCCGCATTGATTTCCAACAAGACCGTGCTAATAATAGAGACCGTGCTTATAATGTTTCGAAAGGTGCTCACAGTGTGCTAGTATTAGAGACTGTGCTAGTAATAGAGACCTGTGCTTATAATAGAGAATATACGGTATATTTAAAAGAGAAAAGGACATATGGATACGAGTTAAGAGTAACTCTCCATCACTGTAACATGATACTATATACAGTCAGAAAGTGCAATAACTAGGCACAAAACTGACAGAGTACTGAGACATTCGACGTCCTGACACCTAACTTCAACACATCTCCGTAGCGCTAACCGACAGCCTTCCAACTTGGAAGGTTCAAGGTTATGGAAAGACCAAAGAGGGGAAGGCAAGCGCAACGAAAACGAGCAAAAGCTACGGTCCCAACGGAACAAAGAATGTCGATTGTTACTGGACGATGACGAGACCAGTACGATATTTGACAAAGCGGTCTAACTACAATTCGAAGCAGCAAAGCAGCACACCACCCAACTTGGGTGGGTCATAAATATCAAAGATAAGTAAAGAAAGGGAAGCTTTGCGAAAACGAATTGTACAAGCCGAAAGCCAAACTCCTACAGTACTCCTCATGCATGACATTGTGATGGACTAGTTGACTACAAAACAAGTTTTTTCACACGACGTACGTTTCGCCGCATGGTTCGTGACGGCTCATCAGGTGTGCAATTTGAAACTCGGATGTTGAGCCAAAAATAAATGTAAAAGAGAAAAGGACATATGGATACGAGTTAAGAGTAACTCTCCATCACTGTAACATGATACTATATACAGTCAGAAAGTGCAATAACTAGGCACAAAACTGACAGAGTACTGAGACATTCGACGTCCTGACACCTAACTTCAACACATCTCCGTAGCGCTAACCGACAGCCTTCCAACTTGGAAGGTTCAAGGTTATGGAAAGACCAAAGAGGGGAAGGCAAGCGCAACGAAAACGAGCAAAAGCTACGGTCCCAACGGAACAAAGAATGTCGATTGTTACTGGACGATGACGAATTGTAGTTAGACCGCTTTGTCAAATATCGTACTGGTCTCGTCATCGTCCAGTAACAATCGACATTCTTTGTTCCGTTGGGACCGTAGCTTTTGCTCGTTTTCGTTGCGCTTGCCTTCCCCTCTTTGGTCTTTCCATAACCTTGAACCTTCCAAGTTGGAAGGCTGTCGGTTAGCGCTACGGAGATGTGTTGAAGTTAGGTGTCAGGACGTCGAATGTCTCAGTACTCTGTCAGTTTTGTGCCTAGTTATTGCACTTTCTGACTGTATATAGTATCATGTTACAGTGATGGAGAGTTACTCTTAACTCGTATCCATATGTCCTTTTCTCTTTTACATTTATTTTTGGCTCAACATCCGAGTTTCAAATTGCACACCTGATGAGCCGTCACGAACCATGCGGCGAAACGTACGTCGTGTGAAAAAACTTGTTTTGTAGTCAACTAGTCCATCACAATGTCATGCATGAGGAGTACTGTAGGAGTTTGGCTTTCGGCTTGTACAATTCGTTTTCGCAAAGCTTCCCTTTCTTTACTTATCTTTGATATTTATGACCCACCCAAGTTGGGTGGTGTGCTGCTTTGCTGCTTCGAATTGTAGTTAGACCGCTTTGTCAAATATCGTACTGGTCTCGTCATCGTCCAGTAACAATCGACATTCTTTGTTCCGTTGGGACCGTAGCTTTTGCTCGTTTTCGTTGCGCTTGCCTTCCCCTCTTTGGTCTTTCCATAACCTTGAACCTTCCAAGTTGGAAGGCTGTCGGTTAGCGCTACGGAGATGTGTTGAAGTTAGGTGTCAGGACGTCGAATGTCTCAGTACTCTGTCAGTTTTGTGCCTAGTTATTGCACTTTCTGACTGTATATAGTATCATGTTACAGTGATGGAGAGTTACTCTTAACTCGTATCCATATGTCCTTTTCTCTTTTACATTTATTTTTGGCTCAACATCCGAGTTTCAAATGGCTATTATATTCTCAACTGTTCTCCAGGAATATACACAGTGATAAAGTGATAAGTAAAATAGAGAACATGTTCACATGTACTCTTGCACACACACGCACACACACCTGAAAATTGGCAGGACGCTACTCCTTGCTAAAATAAGAAAGTATGGTTGACTGCTTAGCCGTTGTCTCCTGGACAACATTGACTAGGCTCCGGCGGATTATGCTCGCGAAATAATGGAATTATGCTTTCATGGATTCTCGCATTATGCTCGCAAAATCCTCATATTATGCTTTGGCACGCGGGGATACGCATTCACTTTGTTGTACTTATGGAGCCTCAAAGTTTGGAAAATTGTGCTTTTTCGTACATTGTACATGTACTTGCAAGTGGCCATAAGTACAACAAAATACATGAGTATCCCCATACCAAGGTGTCCATGCATGCTAGAGATCAACATAGAAAAGAGAAAACATTTCATCTTCTATTCACTACAACTTCTTTTGTAAAAAGATTTTTCATTGCTAAATTTTGTTTGAGTTACCTTTCAAAATTATCATGTTCAACTGACTGTCTTCGTAATCGTCATACTCGTCCAACCGATGTCAACCTCACCCTGCGAATAATCAGCTCATCTCTCTCGTAGCTCCACCTCTCCTTCCATCATGATCGAACATCAACAATACCTCACTTGATATTTTCTAATTATTAGAGCAATATCCATAGCCTGCACAGCCACGGCTGCTAAAATCCCGAGGACGACTTTGTATCATGAATAATGTACATGTACGCAGAGTCCATTTGAAGACTACCCATCACTATCTTGTCCACCTCGGGATACCTCATAAAACCCTGCTTTTCACTGAAAACTATAATATCTGCATGACCTCCAAACCCTTTACCAAACAGATCACTAGCGCTGATCATGTGCATTGTACACAATTCTGTAGCCTACATACTCACGAGAACTGTGGTACAATCATGTAGTTATGCTCCTACCTCCGAAAGGATGCCAAATTATGCTCCAAATTTTCAACCACCCAATTATGCCAATAATTATGCCGGCATAATCCGCCGGTGCCTAACATTGACCCTCTTGAGAAGGCCACGCAAGCAGTCGACATCATGCAGGTCGAACGTTGTAGTTAGTTGTAGAACGTCAGTACCGTTGGTCAGTGTCGTGCAATGTTATCGCATGAGCTGATTGTTTAGTAACTGGTGGTGTTAGTGGACAGTATAGCGTAAATTGTAGTTCCTTGGTCTTTCTCCTTGTATAAATTGAGTTAGGGTTCGGAAAAGTCCTAACAACCAACCGAACTGAACTCTCCCGCGCGAGGTCGAGTACAGTTGTCAACTGAACTGAACTCTGAAGTGGCCCCGCGCGCGCGGCACTGACCAGACTGGCCTAGCCTGGCCTGGCAAGGAGTGCACCTGTACGGACGGTATGCGATTTACGACTGCCGGATTATGAAATCAAACTACGTGCAGTTTGAGCGATTCGTTTCAAAAAGTCACTGCCGGAGGCGGAATTCAAGTGCCGGATTAAGATGTAGGAATTGAACGAAAAAAATCGGTTTCGTCAGAAAGTGCGCCGGTTGGCAAGGGTTCCGGATAAACAAGTGCCAGATTAGAGAGGGACGACTGTACTCTGACGCAATCCGAGTTCGATTATTTTTCAAAAACCGAGCAAGCACTTCAATATTCGGTATATCTTATCACCCCTAATTTTCATACTACCTATTGTTTTGTGCTGTAACTACAGGTTGGAATAACAAGGGCATTCAAACTTGACGATAGCAGCACTACAGAGGGAGAGGTAGGATTAATCTGTGGAGTGTCACTTCCACGTTGGGGTGGTGGCTTGTTTGGGAAGCATACCCGCTGACACTGCGCTCTCTCTCTCTCTCTCTCTCTCTCTCTCTCTCTCTCTCTCTCTCTCTCTCTCTCTCTCTCTCTCTCTCTCTCTCTCTCTCTCTCTCTCCCTCTATCTATCTATCTATCTATCTATCTATCTATATAAAAGTTGTATGTCTGTCTGTCTCCATGGGCATCTACATATTTTCATTCATCCATCTATCCATCTATCCATCTGCACATGAACCTACCAGTATCCATTATACCTTAGTACTTGCTTGATTACAGCACGGCTTGTGTTTACCAACCGCTGCGATAAGTGACCACCTGTCTTTATGAGTCGGGTCGTTTCAGGACTCCAACCATGGTCTACATACAGTTGAACCTGTTTTGAAAGGCCACCTGTCCGGAAGGACCACTGTTCTGTGCACTGTTAAATGGTTGCTAACCACCAGTTGCACTGTATACTGTTTGCTGTGTGTGCTGTCAGAGTGGTGATGGGCGAGGTAGACGGTCTCCGCAAGCCATGGCTAGGTATGTAGGAGAGTATGAGACAGTGTCGGCGATGTGATTGTATTGGCATCAGTGAGCTGTGTGTGTGTGTGTGCGTGCGTGCGTGGGTGGGTGGGTGGTCTCTCTCTCTCTCCCACACACACACACACACACACATTCCTCATGTCTTTGGTGTCTATGTGTTTGTGTGTGTTTCACCTGGCAGTCAATGGCAAGGACTGTGGAATATTCCTGGGAACGACTGCTGCGTCGATTGCAGTGCACCAGGTACGGCTAAATCTCACTGTCTATTCAGCATAGGTCATTCCCACTGCCTTTGAAACCCGATTTTTAAATCTGTAAAATTTGGGCTGTTGACTTGGTTTTGCCTATCAGTAGATTTTACTTCAGGTAAATGTGTGCTCCACACGTTAACAGCCACCCGGCGGTGTGCAGTGATGTGATCGTTCTAGGGCTGCGCATCCCCTAGGTTTACTTTCACTGGGGGGTGGGGGTGATAGCATTGACAACCGGTCAGAGTGCTCAGTGCAGGTTCTGACTGGTCAGCACTCCAGAACCCTACCACGCACACTCACACACACACACGCACACACACATACGCATACACACATACATACACACACACACACACACACACACGCACACACACACACATATCACAGGACCGGGCAGAAGCAGTTTTTGATAGGTGACTAAGGTCTGGCCATATCCTGGCTTGTCATACATTGTGTATGATACAGCAGGTACACATGATCTGCTTAGTTATAAACACGCGCCGGCAGCCAGCACCTTGGTCCGGCCATGGCCTGACCAGCCGGACCGGTTTCGTTGTCCCTGCATCATGGTGTCCTGGTGATTACGTATTGCGTAGTAAGAAACGAGTGAGTTAAGACGTGTATTCGTTTTCTTCCACTGGATCTCGTGTGTAATCTCACTTGTATGTTTGTACTCACGGCGGCTTTGCATAGTGCTCGGTTGTATCAGTATGGACCCGGGTGCTGTTATATTGGCAATGAGTTAGGTTGTGCCCGAGTGGCTGAAAAATCATGTCCAGTTTGTGCGCGTGTGCGTATACGTTTGTGCATGTCTGTGCGTGTGTACGTGCGTGTGTTCACACTGATGTGCTACAGATCCGACATGGGCCAGTATAAACCTGGGTATCACCCTGTGCATTGATTGCTCTGGAATTCATCGGTGAGTTGGCGTCACTGCTGCCGATTAACAAATGTGTTATCCTTTAGTTTGCTTCGGTACTGCTCAATGAAATCCCAGCAAGGCAGTGAATGCCACACCGAGTGCTGTGGAGCCCTTGACCTGCTAACACTGGGATGTGCACTCATGCAAGGCACAAACTTGATTCATGCGGATATCATCTAGCAGCCAGGTACATATCCGTGAGTTTTCTCTGCCAGGTGCACAATCTTGAGAGGTTTTCGCTCTTGGTGAGTTTTGTGTAGCTCAGGCCAACCTGGACCGTCTGCAGTGGTCCACCTCTGTAGACAGGTTTATGGGGAATGGACTTCTTACTGAGTCGAGCGAATATCCGTACACTCTGTATCCTTATCTGTATAGAAACGGCAGTATCAAGGTGCCCCCCCCCCCCCCCAAAAAAAAAGAAGTATACAGTGCACCGGATAATACCAAATGCTAGGTATCTGATGTCCACTGTACTTTCAGTCTTTTCTCTTTGAGATGAATAGAGTGGTTTCACATCTCTCACATGACCATGCAGGACAGCCATGTTGGTTCCAACTCCAGCGAACCATTGCATCTGTGGGTCACGTGATGTCGGCCATGTTGGTTCCACTGCCCGCATGTCATGTACAGTTACAGATTTAGTCACATGACAAATATGTGAACACCACTCTATAGTATGGTTTGTGTGTTGGAACCTGGCGTATTCTTGTCCAGTCGTTTATTCAGTCATTTGACCTCGGAACCGAATACTTTGGGCCATAACGTACTGGATTTTACATGCTTTCCAGGTGTGTATGGTATACTGAAGTTTCACTGTGTTTTGCCTTTGGTCTCTTTGTGTGTGCTTAGCTCTCTTGGTGTGCAAACGTCCAAAGTGCGTTCACTGACGTTAGACGACTTGGAACCGGAGTCTGTCAACGTGAGTAGCTTGTTGGCTATGTGTGTGCTCTCTGGTCTCTTTGGGGTCGTTGCATGCTTCTGCCCCTGTGTGGCTGAGGCTGTGTGTGTGTGTGTGTGTGTGTGTATGTGTGTATGTGTGTGTGTGTGTGTGTGTGTGTGTGTGTGTGTGTGTGTGTGTGTGTGTGTGTGCATGCGTGCGTGTGCATGCGTGCGTGCACGGTCAATTCCTTAGCCGTCCAAGCTGTTGAATGGTGTTATCCCAGAACACGTTGCTTTATTCAACATAGCATGTAGCCTTACACTTGTTTTTCAACAGGGTCAAAAGGAGAACATAGACAAATCTAAAATCAGCTGAAGTGTTTTTTTTTCGGATTTCGGTGGTCAGCGATCTTTTGTGGCTTCCTCTTGTCACTCACTGCCCACCGTCACTGTCAGGTTTTTTTTTAATCATTGTATTTTTTCTTCTCCAAGGCTTGTCTCAAAGCGTAAGCAACTTCTTTTCTAACAAGCTTGCCGGTTTCTTCCGACATCAACATGCTAGTGATGTCGTACAAAGTATATCAATGAGTGTACATCGTTACATGCACTACAGCACTGGTTACGTCGTAGTTTTCACGGCCGACCGGTGTCACCATTTTGTAAGGTCATCAGAGAGTGTGCGTGTGTGTGTGTGCTTTTGTCTGTGTGATGCTTTGCAGCTGATGCAGTCACTGGGCAACACCCTCGTCAACTCTCTCTACCTGGTTACCATACCCAATGAGTGGACGCCCATCACACAGCATGCCACAAAGTAAGAACTGTGCATGGCTTGGAGATTCAGAATCCACGGTGTCACCGTTTTTCTTGTCGTGTTCCCGCCATGTGTCAAGCTCACACCTACTTGTGTGCTGGTTTACCTTATTTTCTGGAGTAAGCCGCACTTTAAACACTAGCAATTCACCCCGAAAAACTCAGCGCGGCTAATACTATGATGGTCAAATTGACAGTGATAAACAGGATAGGTGTCTGTATTAAATAAAATTTTCATGACAATAATCTGGGTGCGTATTATCTTCCAGTGCGGCTATTACTCGTGGAACATGCGGTCTTTGATGTTTCTCTGTATTGTGTATTGTGTGGCATGGCAGAGAGGAGCGCAAGCGGTGGATCATCGCCAAGTACGTCAAGAAGCGGTTTGCACACAGCCCGCAGGCCGGAGGCAAGTCGTCTCGCCGCTACTCCATGCCCATCATCCGCTCGCACAAGAAGAACCGCAAGAACTCGCCGCTCATCCAGTCGAGGAGCGGGGCCAGTGGAGCCAGTGTTGCCAGTGGGGCCGGCGCTGTCGCCGTTGGCAACGCTGTTCCCGGTCCCGCCGGCGGCAGCGGTGGCTGTGGAGAATCACCGCTCGCCGATGAGAAAAGTGAGTTGTTGTTCGCCAGGATGCGTTCAGCCTTCCCGCGAACTTGTGGTGACTTGTTTGTAGTTTTGCTTTTTACACTCAAGAAAAGAACAAGTTTCAGGCTCCTCGCAATCGAGTTCACACGTTCGAAGCTTTTCCACTAGCACTTTCAAGTGGAAAGAGGAAAAGTAAGTTCTGAAGATGTTGATTGCCTGGAGCTTGTTCTCTTGTCAAGTGTAATTGCGTATTCGTCTCCAAGAAAACTATTTTCTTTTCTTTTGTTGTTGTTTTGCTGCCTCGCTCATAAGTCACAACTGCTCAGTCCCTGTGTCGTGCAAGCTGTCAAGCCATGATATATGTATACTAGCCTAGGCATCGCGCATCGTCATCATCCAGTAGCTTTCGACATTCTTTGTTGCTGTGGGACGTCATGTAGCTCGTGCTCATCTTCGTTGCGCTTTCCTTCCCCTCATGGGGCCTTTCCTAACCTGAGCCTTCCAAGTTGAAAGGTTGTTGATTTGCACCTTGTAGATGGGTCGGAGCTAGGTGTCAGGTCGTTGAATGTTTCATTACTCCCTGTCAGTTTTGTGCCTTGTTGTATTGTATTGTGTTGTTTATTTACGGATTCTCCAGAGGTAAATGGATACCTATCATGGGAGTCTCTCCAAACCAATAGAATAATGAAAATATAATTATGTATGGAGTGGATAAAACTCAAAATATGAGATAGATTTAAAAAGGAGAGGAAGAACATCAATAGATTTATGCCTTGTTGCTGCACTCGCTGACTGTACATGATCTGGTTACTTTGGTGGACAGTTAGTCATAACTCATAAACATTTTCAAAGGATTTGGAGAACTTCAAAATTCAAAGGATCAGTCGGGGAAGTGAACTGCCTGAAAAACCGAACCCGCTTCCATAGCTCAGATGGTAAGCGCATGCTCATGACAAGCAAGGTCCCGAGTTTGAGTCCAGGCGGGGTTGGCATTTTTTCTCTTTCCAGGCAGTTCACTTCCCTGACTGAACATAACATGTTTTACTTCTTTTTATCCATGATTAAACTAATTACAGTTGCGCTCGGTGAAATCCGACCCAAAGTGCAAAGTTAGCGCCTTGGCCCCTGGATCAGTTCCGACTACATCATTGTATTCGTACATGAGTATGTCCAGCTGCATTCGTGCCACTTCCAGGGCGTCAAGGGCGTGCTAGTTGAGGGCGCCAAATGTGCACTCTGGGTCGGATTTCACCGAGCGGGACCGTACTTCACTGCATTTATAACTTACTTTGTATTTCTGTTGTGGTACAGCATCGCCTGTACGTATGCCTGACACTGACAGCAAGTCGCCGGACGGCAGCAGTGGTCTGGCTGCCGATGCAGCGCTGTGTACTACTACCACTACTACTACTACTGCAGCGGACTCGCCTACACACCTGCCATTCTCCCCTCAGCCTTCTGTGTGTAAGCGGTGTTGTTGGTCTACGTTTTACGGAGCCAGTAATATGCTGTGCTGTGCCATGTTATGCTGTGCTATGCCATGCTGTGTCATGCCACACTGTGCCATGCGACGCTGTGCTGGTCTCCTTCTTGTCTACAGTGTTGTCGGGCGCCGAAGAACACACAGGCTAGCTTGTTACCGGGCACTGGATAGTAGATACCTTTATGCACACACTTACTCGACTGTACAGACAGTTCAGCGTGGAAAATAAGAACGGTCTAGGCTACGAGCCTGAACCCCAAGTTCTTCAGTACCCGACAGTTCTGTAGTCGGGATACTTTGCTTAGTGAAGTTAAATCAAGCCGGAATGCAGTTTGACGTGGAACTTACACCTGTCCGTTATCGTCTTGCTGCTGCTGTTGTTGTTGTTGTTGTTGTTGTTGTTGTTGTTGTTGTTGTTGTTGTTGTTGTTGTTGTTGTTGTTGTTGTTGTTGTTGTTGTTGTTGTTTGAATTCTTTTATTCTCACGATGGCCTGTGGCCGATAAGAGAATTTGTTGTTGTTGTTGTTGTTGTTGTTGTTGTTGTTGTTGTTGTTGTTGTTGTTGTTGTTGTTGTTGTTGTTGTTGTTGTTGTTGTTGTTGTTGTTGTTGTTGTTGTTGTTGTTGTTGTTGGCCATCAGTTGCCAGTGTGCAGAGAGCCTACAGCCACAAGGAGAACTCCGTGGATGAGATGCCAACTGCGCTTAACCATGCCAGCGCGGCGTTGGGCAGCGTGGATGACCTTGGCGAGGAGCTCTGCCTGGCCGCTACGCCCGGTTCACCGGCCATGCCGCAGCCAGCGACAGCGCAAGAACGAGCAACAACGCCGATTAGCACCTCTAACTTTGTGAGGATGTCGGGGTGGGGAAACCCCTTTTTATCGGCATGCTAGTTTGTGTGTCTGGTGGTGGTGATGGCCGTGGTGGTTGCGGGTTTGTAGTACAGTGCAGGGTCATATGACTGGTGAAGTGCAGGCCAGGGTCACATGACTGGTGAAGTACAGTACAGGGTCCTCGAAAATGATACTTCATCTCCCATAGTATGTTGTATCCAGGACACTTTCTAATAAAGTCTTTTTAAGCGTTATGCCGTATCTTGTCGAATGTAAACTAGGCTATTGTATTCTGCGGATGATAAATAGCGTGGCTTCACTTCTTGATCTTCCCCTTGTTTGCCCACTGCAGGCGCTGAGCAGAAAAGCACGTAGCGGAGATCTCTGTGGTGAGTACTGGGAGCAGGGAAAATCCCTCGACTTGTGTAGTTGCTTTTCTCAAACAGCATCATTCTGTGCATGCTTCTTCACATGACATAAATCACGAATTTTTGTGATATGATGATTTCATTTTGGCCCGCACGTTTCATGCTGCTCGTGGTGTTGTCGATGTTTGCGGCTTTGCTCAATAGCCTGCATCTCATCTTGTTTTGATCCTGACACAGGACCGAGTTCTGATGTACGAGTACAACCCTGAATGTGTTTGGAGCTCCTGAAAATGACTGTGTATTGCTGCTACTTCTGTACTCTTTTGTTTAAGTCATGTGTGTGTATGTGTGTGTGTGTGTGTGTGTGTGTGTGTGTGTGTGTGTGTGTGTGTGTGTGTGTGTGTGTGTGTGCGTGCGTGTGTATGTGTGTGTATGTATGTGCGTGTGTGTGTGTGTTCTCTTGTACATTGTTGTAGGTATGCTGGAGGCACTAGTAGAAGGCGCTGTTATCAACTGGGTCAACTCCAACAATCACAGTTACTCCACACTGCATCTCGCTGTTCTCTCGGTGAGTTGATGTGTTGCGCACGTACTGGCTGCTGTTCCAAGTGAACGGGTGGCCCTGACCGGTGACCCTGCCTTAGCATCACCCTGCATTGATCACTGTTGATTGCTACTACAATGCTGCACAACTCTCCTTTCATGTGTGTATTTTGCGCCTGCTCATTTCTCCTCCCCCACCTTCCCTGCATTCATGCTTTCCGTTCCATTGTCTTCCTGGCGTGGTTTGGGTACACACAGGGTGCGGTCGAGGCAGTGGAGTTCGCGATTCAGAATGGCGCTTGGTTGGACACAGTTGACGAGGATGGCCGGACACCTCTCAGTCTTGCTGCCAAGGCTGGCCTGGCGGCGTACGTTATCTGTTTTGCTGTTTGTTTGTTTGTTTGTTTGTTCCTCTTTTGTACTGATTTCAACACCATCGAACCCCATGCCCTGGCTGATTGAAACTGCCGATTAGCAACACGGATGCATACATGTACATCGAGCGTACTCACACGCTTGTGTGCGTGTGCGCACGCATACACTGCTGCTCCTACTACAGTGTACAGCTGCCCTATTGGACGGCGCTGCGAGATGCGAAAGACAACAACGAGACGAGACAGAGGAGAAGACAGAAAACTGATTGGCAACAGGACTTGAGAAGTTGGCACACACATACGCACGCGCGCGCGCGCGCGTACACACATACGCACGCGCATGCACGTACACACACACGCACGCGTACACACACACGCACGCGTACACACACACGCACGCGTACACACAGTAAAATGTTATCAGGAAACAGGTGCTATTACCCTGGCATGACGAGGCGCCTTGATGTACCGATACAAGCGTCCATGGAGCTATGAAGCCGAGGCCTCTGGTCGGCTGAGCTTAATGGGCCCCACCACCACACTCCATTATTCACCCCAGTGTCTGGAGATAATGTAGATTTTGTAGAGAGAAACAATGGCTTGGAGCAGTCAGGTACATGCCAGTATAAATGTCACGAACAGGAAGAAAATAGATCAAGGAACTACAAGTTACACTATAGTGTCCACTAACACCACCAGTTACTGAACAATCCATCCGAGTCCATTCTTGCCCACCTGATGAGCCGTACTAACAGGAAGCTGAGGGTTTTCTCCTCAAAAGCCATCAATTCAGTGCTGTTGCACCCACCTGCAGCATTACTCTCCCACCTGTTTGGTATACCTGTTGATTTCGTCTGATGAGTGCTTTCGCACGAAACTCGGAGTAACAACGAATTTCTTGGCTATCCATCGCTTGATGACTTGTGTGCCATTGCTCCATCTTTGATGTAGAGCACCCTTTTTCGCAGCTGTGGGACCTGATCTTACTCTGTATTGATTTCAATGTATATATTGGCCTTATTATTTGGTGACATGGGAGATACAGCTGATCATCGATTGTGTGCGTTGTGTGTGTGTCTGTATGTGTGCTCTCTTTGTTTGTGAATTCAGAATAGTGTGTCTACTCGTGAAACGCGGCGCCCGCATTGATGTTGCGGATAAAGACGACAAGGTGTGTCTGTCTGTCTGTGTTTGTCTGTGTCTGTGTATATGTGGGTAAGTGTGTGGGTCTGCATGCATGTGTGTTTTTGCTATCTTTGCACACAGTATAGAACTGTGTGGGATGGAGAGGGTGGGGCGGCGACTTTTAACTTTTGCTGGTGGCCTAGCATGTTTTTCTCTGCTGCTGATTAGTTTCTCTGCTTTCTCACTCTGTTGTCCTTGTGTGTTTCTTTACCTCTGTGTACATCTTATGTGTGTATACGAATGCAGACGCCCGAGCAGCTAGCACTGGAGGTGCCGCACGTTGATGTGGTTACATTGTAAGTTGTTCCAGATGGGCGAGGGAACCGGATAATCGAACACACATACCGCATGTATGCAATACTATGCATGACGTATGCTGTAAATCGGTAACCAACGATTTTCTTCCGGATGGCGGGGGATCCGGCTAAAAGAGGACCGGTCAAACGAGGTCTGACTGTACTTGTCTTGTCCGTCTTTCTCTTCCATCATGTCGATGATACACAAATAATAAGTTTAATAACAAATAATCTACGTGGAGATGATAATTTTAATATAGCTATGAATAGGATGAAGGCCGCAGACATCACGCAACTACGTTACTTGCTCGAAATGTATGTGTATTTTATAACAATAATATTATTGAAACCCAGAATCTATTTTCTTGTTCCTGTCATCAGTGGGAAAAAATACGGAACTAAAGGATACAACCAATGAAACTGAAGTTAAGTACTGTAATAGAAAGGTGTTAGAAATACCACATAACATCATGATACGAGTGCAATAAAAACACTAGAGGAAACGCAAAAAGGTAACAAGATTACATAACCAAAGGTGAGAAGGCACTGAACGAAGTGTCAACCTACGAATACAACCTCAGTGCAACAAGGTGCTCTTTCTGCTTACACAAAACAGGCTTATGAATACGTATACAATTTGCCTCAAGGACTTTCAACTGCTGGACATAACGCGCACGGCACAGTACAGAAAAATGAGAGTCATCATACACACCAAGACAGTCAGGACGAGATAACAAGTGTAGATACACAGCCGACTTCTTACGATCAACACATTCACCCGCCTCATCTCGCTCTTTCCCATCCGACTCCTCCTCGTTCATCTCATCGTCCTCTTCCTCGTTCCGCTCGTCATCCTCACGATCATCATCACCGCCATCATCCGCCTCGTCCTCTGTCTCTTCACCGACCGTTTCGTCATCCAATTCCTCTTCCATTTTCTCATCACCCGTCTCATCCTCTATTTCTGTACAGACCACTTGTCTCCCATTTGCTAGCTGCTCGTCCCGTGACCGGAATTGTTCCTCCAGATCCGCTTCACTCACTGCGCTGTCACTTTCCCCATTTCCAGCATCACACCACATGCCACGGTTCACTTGTCCGCATGCACACACATTACGTACATACATGGATCACGTGTTCACGCATTCACGCCCGACCTCAATAACAATAGCCTTGAATAGGGCACAAATGTGCAGTATTATCAGATGTGATATCAATCATATGTGATATCAATCATAATAATTATTATTATCATCGATATGTGACGGTGAAATTCTCACAACAGCCAACCCTAGAAGGCAACCAAGAGCCACTAGTCAAATAAATTGAAACTAAAAGAAGTACACACAATCAGTGGTTCTGAGCTCCACTGAGGAGACTAAACGTGTTCAAACAGCCAGCTGCTCAGAAGTTAATTAAATTAATGAATAAAGAAAGAAAGAACTGATGGAACATCATGATACGCACTGGCTGCAACTATCTGTCTACAGGTCAGGCAAAGGAGGCAAGTCATCGGCTTCTTCCTCTGCAAACCTCTCAAGCCGTGGCATCAACTGCTGGACCGCCACAGGGGCAGCAGTTCTTGCTGCCTGAAGACCACTGTTTGCATGAAGGAAGACGAGTGCATCAACGTTCTCGTGCGTTAGACTTGCTCGTAGTTTGCTAACAATGATGCCAGCCGCTGAAAATACTCGCTCCGACGGCACAGAGGTGGCAGGTATGCACAACACGCGCTTTGCCAACCTTGCCATGGTGGGAAACCTGTCCGCATTCGTCCTCCACCAATCGAGTGGGTCCACAGATGAGCCTACTTGTTTCTCCGTGAAGAATTGGGTTACCTCCACCTCACAATGCTGCCGATGAAGTTGTGGATGGCTCGACGCTAGGGCACGAGAAGAACAACGACATGTCCTCTTCCATAGGTCGCTTGGCAGGTGGCTCCAGAATACATTCGTCATCAGAGCTGCTCCCATCGCTGTCGGCAGTGATTTGAGCACACACCCCGCGAACAATCTCTGACTTCAACTCGTCCTTGTCTTTGTCACTGTCCAAGAATCCGAGGCTCCGTGACCTGGGATCCAGTGCTGCAGATACAGATGGCAGCGAGATTGGGTCAAATGGATCGAGGGAAAACTTCACCTCGATTTCCATCGCCAGTGATTTCCGGAAATCCGCAGCCGATGCCGAGAGTTCCTCATTCGCAATACGAAGACCACGTAGCAAAGACTTGGCCACTGGCACCACCAACGTCTGTGTACAGTAGGTTTCCCCACCAAGAACAGTGGTAGCCTTTGCTGGTGCCTCCAGTGCTGCCACTATCTCCTTGGCGAGATTCCACTGGTGGTCCTTCAACTGCAGGTGCCGATGGGAGCTCTTGGTCAGCTCGGGGTCTTCCAAAACCGCCATGATTGGCAGCCTCAGGTGAATCAGGCGCTGGAGCATCAGAAAGGAGCTGTTCCATCGCGTTGGAACATCCTGGATGACTCGTAGAGGAGTGCCAGACTTGCTACCTGACGCCATAGCTACTTGCTTGTTGTTTAGCGCCTCTGTGCTCTTGGCACTGTGGCTGAAGTGGCCAACAAGTTGCCTGGAAGAAGCCAGCAGTTTCGTGACAGGCCGTGATGCTGTTATAGCATGCCTGATGCAGGTTTGCAACCGATGGGCAGTGCAAGCTTGGTAATCCCAGTGATGTTGGCTGCGAAGAAGTCTGCTCGCTGCCATCTGGTTTGGTGCTTCATCATGGACTAAGCACTGCACGGTGTCATGCGCAATGTTGAATCTGCTAAGAACTGCTTCTGTGCTGGCAGCAAGGTTTTCCGCTGTGTGACTCCCGTTGAAGCGCTTGGTCTCAAGAACGTGCGACACCAGTTTCCAGTCGTCCGTGACATAGTGGCTCGTGTACGTTACAAAGGAGACCACAGCCTTCGATGTCCACGCATCCGTTGTGATAGCAATTGATGTAGCACCTGCTAATTTTGTCACAAGCTCCTTTCGTGCAGCATCGTGCCGCCGACGCACCATGGATGCGATGGTCGTCAGTGAGGGAACGGTGAATGAAGGTTCCGCGAAGGACAGCAATTGCCTGAACCCAGGATCGTTTACTATCCCAAGAGGACGCATATCAGCAGTGACCCAGTGGCGATGAGCCCCCGAATCTGAGTTGACCTGGCCGAATTACAAGTTCTCTTCGAGTGCGATACTGCAAACGATTCCATTGGCTTTGTCCCAACCGTGGTACGTGTTGCTGCCGCTGCGCTGCGCTCGCTCGGCTCGCTGCCTTTCTCACTTTCCCTCTTCTCCTTGTAACTTTGGCATGTTAGCAGATGATTGGACAAGTTCGTTGTACCACCCGTATATTTGTATTTGCCCTGGCAATGTTTGCACAAGACTTGCTTTGACACTGGTTGGGAGAAGTGGTCCCAGACCTTCGATCTCTGACCGGTCTTTCGTGGTAAGCCAGCCCCGCTTGATGACGATGCTTGTTGCAACTCCATTTTTCGTCAGACAACACTACACTTCACTCAAGCCAACTACTGCAAACGAAAATCACTCAACTACGAAAGGAACTCTTGGATGTGACTGCGAGACCCACGAAGAAAACTGAAGGAGCAGCGACAGCTAGCACGTCTTCTCCGAGTTTCGCTACACGACTGTATTCACGGAGCCCTTCACATCTTTCGTTATGTAAACGGCTCCGTAGTACACGATGACTCCCGCTCGATCCCACGCGCAGGGATTCCTGCTCAGCTCAACCGCGCAAACCGGTACGGTAGCTATCCATAGTCGCGTGTACAGGAACTGCTCTCCTCACAACCAAAACAGTTTTCCAGAACCTTTCCAGAACCAAAAGAAGTGCATGCCGCACTGCCCCTGACACTGGAAGCGAAAAGGTGAGAACTCAAACTGCATGCAGCATAGCACAACTTTGAACTAGGTACGCGGAGCGCCGCACTGACACTTTCCTACATGTACCACCAGACCATTTGGCAGCCGTATGCGGCATTGCGTGTTACTTTTAGCGAGAGTACGCTAGTAGGTCTACTAGTACAGTCGTCCCTCTCTAATCCGGCACCTTTTGCTACGGCATTTTCTGCTGGATTAACGAGGGTGCTGGATTAAGAAATCCTGCCCTCTGACCCGGCCCTACCCAATTGCATGCATGTATCATACGTCAAAACGCAGGGGTTTTCCGTGTCGACCCCAATATTTGGTGCACGGCTTTATATTCTCAACGTTTCTCCCGGAATATACACAGTGATAAAGTAAAACAGAACATGTTCACATGTATACGTACTCTTGCACACACACGCACAGTCGATTTACGACTGCCGGATTATGAAATCAAACTACGTGCAGTTTGAGCGATTCGTTTCAAAAAGTCACTGCCGGAGGCGGAATTCAAGTGCCGGATTAAGATGTAGGAATTGAACGAAAAAAATCGGTTTCGTCAGAAAGTGCGCCGGTTGGCAAGGGTTCCGGATAAACAAGTGCCGGATTAGAGAGGGACGACTGTACTAGTACTCTGCACGCCTTCGGGGCTGTGCACGTACGAGTATGTGACTTGTGACCATGGTTGTAGACTGCATGCACAACACTGTGCATGCATGCATGATCGAGTACTCGAATTTTTTCCGAGTACTCGATCGTTCAAAAAAAGCGATCGAGTACTCGAGTATTCGGTATAATCGTTTCACCCCTACTTGCAAGTCATGTTTCTAGCTCAATCGCGCGCTCTAAGTGAGGCTAGTGAATTTTATTCAACTTGCACTGAGTTGTATATACTGCTTAGTGAAGTCACGGTTGGAGTTTAAAAGTGTTGCCTCCTTCGTGTTACTGCCGCTGCTGCTTCTGCTGATTGTGTAGGCTAAGGGTGGCTCGCCTCGACTCTTTCAACAAGGAGACAGGGGATGACGTGATGGGTGGAACAGGTATGTGTGTTGCTGGTCGGCAATGGCAATAGCAAGGTGCCAGGACCTTCTATCGCTTTTAAGTTGTATCTGAACCAACAAGAAAGTCTAGTTCAGCAGTAGCTGACACGTATTGTACGAGCTCTGTATGAGCATTGTATTCATTTGATCATGGCGATGACTGCTAATACTAGTAATAGCAGTATAGCAGTATAGAGTGGAGGCAAGTGTACCATGGCCAAGCACAGCATGAAAGAGAACCTAATCATGCATGTACACTCAAGCCTCGGTTATCCGGACCCCGAAGTTACGGCCACTTCAGTCTACCACACACCCTTTGGGCGAGTTTCAGTGGAAATATTACTACTCTGTTGGCACTTTCATGGAAATAATGACCTCACATGCCTTATCTATAAGGTTTCCCCATTGAAATGTATGTGATTGGGAGTTACGGACATTTTGAAGTAGTTACAGGCGGTGCCTGGTCCCGGACCGCCCGGTTAAATGAGGTATGAATGTAGTTGAAAGGCACTGGTAGATGGACTGCAGCAGTATAACGCTGGCTGACTGGCCTGTGTTCCACCGGTGGATAAATGAGCAGATGTGTGATGAGTACGTGGACCAGTGCCTGGACCGGTGCCTGGATTAGCGTGTGGGTGCTGCAACACATGAACAGACACTCCATCGACCACAAACGCATAGGAACATGCTCTTGTCTCAGCATACGTGACGAAGCGTTGTTCTCCTATGGTCCGGGACACCTAAGAGTGATTTTCTTTGGCACGATTCTCTCCATCGCGTACACATACATTCACCTCCAGAAGATCACGGCATGTTTTAAAAAGAATTTTTCATGTGAAATGTTATGCCAGCATCTGCTCACGCGCATGCCTCACCTTTTGTTCGCGTTTTGGTGCCATGTTTACCGGTTGCGTTGCGGTCTCTGACCATGGCCGTGTGTAACACGGAGAGAGAGCGCGATAGAGCAACGCTGCTCGGGAATGCTCATCAGGTAGCACATGGTCGTTTACTGCTTGCTGAGAGAAAAACGCACACCTGAAGAGGCTTGTCCTGTGTGCACGTGTGTGTGTGTGTTTGTGACGTTCCACGCGTTGCCGTAATGGCTGTGCAGCTGGCAACGTGTCTCACGTCTTCAAGGATTTCTCTCGTCTGGCCGCAACACAGCCGGAGCTGCTGAAGAGAACGGCCGAGGGCGCTGTGGTCATTCCCTCGCCGGGTGGCCGACGCTTTTCGGAATGCTGACGGCTTGCCGCGTACGTGTGGCTCCGTGCCCTGTGTGTGTGTGTGTGTGTGTGTGTGTGCTTGCGTGTAGGTGTGTGTGTGTGTGTGTGTGTGTGTGTGTGTGTGTGCATGTGTGTGTGTGCGTGTGTGAGTGTTATCCGAAGTAGTTCACCATCACTTAGAACTGGTGTATTAGGCATTGCATTCCGCACGGCCAGTCTCCACACCAGTGGACGCGGCCTATGATAGCAAAGGCCAGCCATACCGTTGCGCTGCATGGCTGCATGGCTGCATAGCCGGCTGTGGATGTCAGCTACACATGCCGTTTCCTGGTGCAGCAGTAGTCAGACTTCCCTGCATGCCTAGCTCACTTGCAACAAACCGCGTTACCTACCGATACTCATGAGTATATTTAAAAGCAAGCAGCCACATTATGATGTCCTACTCCTAATTATGATGTCCTATTCCTAATTTTCTACATATCCCAAGGGCAGCCAGGTGCTGACCGCCTTCATTCAATTTTTGTTTACGTCGGAGACGTTTTCTTTTCTGAAACCGGACTTCTAGCATCTATCGAGAGCAATATTGCATCTCAACTCGAAATTTCCCTTGTATCAGCCATGCGGCGTCTCTGCTGCCGCTGTCCTGCTTTGCTTTCCCTGCTGCTCGCCGCACCGAGGAAGCTGTCGGTGTACAGTATTGGTTTATGCATGCTGGCGTGTGTCACGCTTGTGTGTAGAGTGCTTCTTCACCATAATCTCTCCCCGTCCTATTCCCAAGGGGTTGCCATGACTGTACGCTTTGTACGCATCGTATTAAATCTCTCTTATTTTGCTCCCGTAGGGTTTGTCATGTACGCTTTTCACGCTGTTGGTCGGCCTGCGGCCAGTTTTGTCGTTGCACGCTGACTCGTTCATTTTCTTCACATATTGAATTTGTAGTAGTTGTAGTAGTAGTATATGGTAGTACACATAGGATTCTAGCAATGCTGATTTACCAGGGCCTCTGGAATGGACTATATTTCACAGGATTTGCTGCACGAACTTTCGCTTCCACAGTTTACGATTTCAAACGGGTTTCAGAGCATTTTGCCATCAATTTTGATTATTCGTGTAAGATGTGTGCTAAATATCAGGTTTATATGAACTTGCTTTGACAGGTTTTTTTTTATAAACTTCGAGTATCAATATTTATGTGGCCCGATATAGATCGTTCCTAATAATTATAACATTATCTCCTCGTGTTTTCTGTTTTTTTTTCTACAACCCAAAATTATTTCCGGCCTAATACTGTACATACAGTGGGTTGCTGCTATGACTGACCTCTGTTGGTTCTGAAGCTATCAGGACTACTAGTGTGTGCCACCATTGATGCATTCATCTTTCTCATTTGCTCTCATCCTAATATTACAGCTATCTTTCATCCATGTCGAATGACGGGGGCTGTGCGTATCAGACAGTAACTGACTTTGGTTGCTCTTCGTCAGGGAGTCGTACCCAGGCCGTTTTCGGTTACAACTCCCTGCTCTTCGTACACTGACTTTCTTCGGCTCCTCAGAGGCTTCCGTTTTCTCTGTGCCGTTTTACCGCGCTCGGCTGCCGTGCTCGTGCGTGTGGTGAATAAATGAGTGTCGCGTTCCATGTGCCTCAGGGGCGTCGCACACGGTACGGTCACTACGGTATTGACCGTACCACTTTTTGCCCCAGATACCCCGTGAATAAACAAAATACACTGATCTGGGATATAAAATTCCAAAATTTTCGGCTCAGCCACCACTCCCCCACGAGTAAATTGTACTTTAGATGGCTGACTGTACCACACTAAAATACCTTCCGACATTGCCCCTGTGCCTGGTGTGTTCTGTCAACTTATGTGGTGTTTACTCAACAGTGCATGTGTAGTGAGCTCACGCCTGCGTCACGTGGTATTATAAGCTTGCACAAGAATTGAATTCAATCTCTTTGGTCCGTCGTTATAACGACAGCAACAGCACCCATTGTAGCCCTCTCGTCATGTGAGTTGTAAATACTTGTGTAGCTTCCAGGTGGTATGTCACCAGATTGTCTGTTCCTACTTGTCAGACTCTACCTGTTTGCCAACTCCAAATCAGGGAGTTGTTACGACGTTTTAAACGGTATATACGACTCCCTGCTCCAAATCGTTCTGATTGGAGACTATTAATCCAAGGGGGGATTCGTTGTTTACGTTCGCTTTGATGCATCATGTGTAGCTAGAACACCTGGGTGATGGGAAGAGGCAGAGGAGGCACATGCCTGGCATTTGCACTCACCTGACTGTCCTCACACTACTAGTATCCTTTTCCACTGCATGGATTCTCACATGCGTGACCTTACCAGGGAGTTGTGTTACTAGTGTGTCAAGGTAGCTACAACTCTCCAAAGGTTCGGGTAAGGAGAATATCTTGGCCTGGGCTGGGGAGGGGAGGCTCCGAGCTTCCCCCTCCCACCCCCTACTACTTCTAGCCCTGCCCTGTAGCCTGATGGCAGTCACGCGTCCGACTCCTGTTTAGCACGTGATGATCGGTGAGTCGACACTCCGCGACGGAGACGACAGCCTTACATAATACATACGTGTAGCCCTAGCTAGCTTAGGCCCTGTCCATATGCCATCGAGATGCTTTTCTTTGCTTCGTCGTTAGTAGACGTTACGTCTAGCGTAGCTATCTTCATCCCTTGTGCGTAGCGAATGAAACAGACACGACGCACAAGCAAGGCAAAGCGAAATCGATGTGCATCAACACACCAGTCAGCCTGAGCTGAGTTCAACCAGTGCAGTCTGGCATGATTTACTCCAACGGTACATAATAATATCACTCACTGACCGACTCTGTCCTAACTGACCTAAGACTAAGTCCTTCACTGCTCTCGGATCTGTCAGAATCTGCAGAATCCAGCACCTGCAAACTGAACTGCAAAAATCTTATCCGTAGATTCTGCGAGCTTCGAAGTCACGTCGTTCCCGATTTAGCGCTGTCTTGTGTCCCGGCCTGTTTCTGGACTGTTGCTCGAACGGAGTCGAAGCATCACTCGTCAGTAAAACCGACGCATCATGGGCATGGCGTCGAGGAATCGAGTGGTATTCATTTCGCTCTTGGTGGTCTCATGTACTTTGCAATCGCAGGCATCCCCACTGGCACTGGGTCCTGGAGACGAACACCATCATCAGAAGGAACGCACGCCCGCAGCAGCAGCAGCAGCAGCTGGATCTGACGACTTGCACTATCTACGACTGGCTGGTATCGACTCCACATGCCAACAGGCCGATCTGAGTCTGAGACGTGTGAGTGCCGGAGTGGGCGATGAGGCCGATGCCGATGAAGGGCACGGCGGGCGAGCAGTGCGCGCCGCGTGCAACGCCGACCCGGAGTGCCTGGGTTACAACAACAGGGGCGTACTGAAACAGCGGCTGCACCCCGAGTGCCTCACCAAACAGCACGGTTCGGTGCTGTATAGAAAGACACGGCATCGGAAGACTATTGGCCTTTCGCCAGTAGTGCCCATTGTGCCTCTACCGGAATCGTGGCATGTGGACACAGGGAATTCCGTACTGCAGGGTGATTTCAATGTGACTACGACGTCGACAGACCCGGACGTGCGGCAGTTCATTGATGATGCCGTGGAGCGCTACTGGGGACTGGTCGTCACACACCGCAGCTCACCGCCATCTTTCACCGGTGGTTTAACAGCGCTGGAGATCGCCGTCTCGTCCAATAGCTTGGCCCTGGGCCTCGGTACGGACGAGTCTTATGAGCTCATCGTGCCGAGCGAGGGCACTGCCCGACTGACGGCCGCTACCGTGTTCGGTGTGGTGCACGGCATGGAGACGCTGAGCCAGTTAATACAGTATGACTACCTGACCGGTGTCTATCACATTGTCAACACGCCGCTGCTGGTCACGGACAAGCCGCGGTTCGCGCACCGCGGCATTCTGCTGGACACGTCGCGGCACTATCACAGCGTTGGCATGCTGAAGCGCTTTCTGGACTCGATGAGCCACGCCAAGCTGAACGTGTTCCACTGGCACATCGTGGACATCCAGTCGTTTCCCATGCAGTTCCGCACCCTGCCCAAGCTGGTGCAGGGCGCGTTCACGCCGCACGAGGTCTACACGCCCGGTGACGTGATGGAGATCGTGCGCTACGCCAGGGCGCGCGCCATCCGCGTCGTTCCCGAGTTCGACACGCCCGGCCACGCCGCGTCCTGGTGCGTTGGCTACCCAAATGTTTGCCCGTCGCCGAGCTGCACCACGCCGCTGAACCCAGCCACCAACGATACGTTTGATCTGATCTCGACGCTGATCACAGAGAGCAAGGGTCTGTGGCCGGACGACTACATGCACCTGGGAGGGGATGAGGTGCGTGCAAACTGCTGGGAATCCGTACCGGCCGTGGCTAACTGGCTTAAAGAAAAGAACTACACGACCGATGATGCATATGGGTACTTTGTAAAGCGTACTCACGCACTGGCCCGCTCGCTCGGCCGCAAGAGCATCCACTGGGAGGAGGTGTTCAACCATTTCGGTGGCGCGCTCGACAAGGACACCATCTTCCAGGTGTGGCTTAGTCATAAGACCGCTGCCAAGATTGTGGCCGAAGGCTATCAGTGCATCCTGAGCAACTCGGACACCTGGTATCTGCCGCATCTGAGCGTTAGCTGGGAGAAAATGTACATGAACGATCCCTTCATGGGAATCACTGATCCGAAGCAGCAGAAGCTGATGCTGGGCGGTGAGGCATGTATGTGGGGAGAGACAGTAGATGATTCGGACCTCTTCAATACAGTGTGGCCGCGTGCAGCAGCAGTCGCAGAGCGCCTTTGGAGCCCTGTGTGGGCCAACTCCACCGGCAGCTTCCTGCCCCGACTTGTGAGGTTCCGTTGCCTACTCAACATGCGTGGCTATGGAGCAGCGGCTGTGCATAACGACCTAGCCAGGTCCGCTCCTCCGGGGCCAGGCAGCTGTGAATTTCAATGACACATCACAACTGTACGAACATCATACATCACTTCGAAATCTTAGCCAGGCGTCAAATTTACAGTCGAAACTTCTGTTGCCAATCACAATGGGCTGAGAGGATTGAACTTACTTCTTTACAATGTCGTGTGCATGTCAAGTACTGGCTTCAATATACAATGGGGCAAAGCTGAAACAGTGGATACGGAAATTCTGTTTCTCTCAATCACCTGGATTTCGTTTTGCGAAACACACGCCAGACAGTCCGTTACATCGCTTGAATACAATCGAACACAATCTCCCGTTATCACTTTTAAAGTGGCACAGTACGTGCATGCTCTTTAGCCACACTTTACTTTCAGCCATGCATGTAAGGCTGTAGGGCCTGTATTGGCCGCAGTCTCAGATCCGTTAGCGTTTGGTCGGATCCAGATACCGGTACGTACGAGTCGTAGGGTCTACGATGCTCTACTTCCGTATTTGTATTCATCGATTGGTCAGATCTGGATCCAGATCCACCAGATTTGGACCCGGGCAACCCTGCCCCGGGAGCAAGGTTGACTGGATCCAACGGATTCGTTTTGCCAGAACAAGGGTTTGCGTGTTCAGTGGGAAAGAAACATTGTTGTACGGATACAGTACGTTGCACCATGCTATTTATGCCAGATGAGTACGAGTACAAACCCCGGAGTGACTTTTTGATGTACCCATGGAAATGCACCACCAAAGCTGATGACGGACCAGGCGCAGATATGCTGCATGTTCATGCCACCTCTCGACGCGCATGCACACGCTCTCTTCACTATCACCAGCAGGTAGCTGCAGTGATCTGGTGTGCCGAAGAAGGAGCAAGTAACACTTAGTTGGGATTCTCCCGAATAAGACTATCGCAGAACATTCAAATAAGAAATAGGAAAGAGCCAGGCAAGATTGGATTACCCTGCATTCTTCAGCACGGCTTCAAATAAATTTAAATTCTGAAGAATGCTTATCATGTGCCTCAGCCTATGAAGCGTGGTTGTGTTGTGTGTGCATGTGTGTGGAAACAGCAACTGTGAGGCTATGTTTAATGAAGTGCATGCTTACAGCAGAGCCTCTGAGAAAAGCGATTAATGTGAACTCATACCAAAGCTCTGTGGTAACACAGTTGATATTTATTATTATTATTATTAGTATTAGTATTCTCAATTCATGGATGACAGTCATGGTGTCAACCAATATAATGAATGAGGGCTACCAGCCATGGAATAAAAAGAACAAGAAGGCAAAAAATGCACACGCAAAATATGGCAAGTTTTAAAATAAAAAAAATGAAAATGAAAATGAAATAAAAGTAAATCAATCCAAAACCAAAAAACCAAAATCAATTGTAAAAATCAATCAATGGATACAAAATGCAAATTTAAAAAGGAATATTCGCACGTATACTTGTCTTTACTCAATACTCATCACTCCAAATAACAACACGACATGAAGTGCGTGCTGGCTTTGCATAATTTATTGCAAAATGGCGTCGAGTAGCTACATGCAGTAGACACAATCTGTAGTACGATCGTAGCAATCAGATCCTGAACAGTAGTGCATTCTACTTATTACAGGCTTCAAGAAAACATTATCTAAATCTAGCATTCTCAAGCTGGATATTGTGAGCAGAAACAAGAGGATGCACAGGCCTCAACCGAATCTAACTTGTTTGCGGTACTGAAATCCTCCGCAGAACAGAGTGGTCCTTGTCGGCAAGTAGGGATGCTCCCATAGCTACAGTGATGATAGCTATAGCCTATAGGCTGGTATGAACACCAACAAAACCCACCGCTAGTGCAGCTACAACAGAAACAGCAGAAGCAACAGCGACAAAAACAGCAGCAGCAGAAACAAGACGAACAAGGAGAACAAGAACAAAAAACAAAAACACGAGAAAGAAGAACAATGTGTTGCAGATACTAGCCCAGTGTGCATGTAGTATGAGAACAACACAGGTACTGACTACAGGTTGGAAGTGGACGTTTAGCCACACATCCATGGGTCACTGAGGGTATGACGTGGACACGTGGTGCGTACACGTAAAGTTTGCACACGGATTACGTGTGACCAAAAGTATGTATACCAGTACGCTGCAAACAGCCACTCATACGGTGAAGTGGTTGGGTTGTCTAGGTCATCATGAATCATAGGATATCCTGCCACATCGTAGGTTCATTTTCAAACCACCGAATCACTATAAAGGTGATAACGGGGGATTTGTGCTCATTTTCACCGTTCGTGCGACAAGCGGCAACAAACAGAAATGTCCTCTGTGATACATGTACAGTAACCTGACCATGTAAACCCCCCCCCCCGGAGTGTGATGCAGCAAAGTTGAGTCGCTACGAACCACACAAAAGCTTTGCCACGGGCTCCATCTCCGGGAGTTACGTACGTGTATTCTGTTCGGTGTGCCCTTGAAAGCAGAGTAAGCATTTAAATCGTACATGGATACATGTACTAGTACATGACAGGGGAGTATCTCGCACATATGTGATGTGGTGACCTTGTACCACTGGTCACCTCATTGTCGCCATGATTTTCCCCCCTATGTTGACTATGTAGTATTCGTACATGTACCTATGACGGCTATTTGCTGGTGTGGTGATCGGACTACGCCGACTACACACGAGCTACGCGCCTCATCTACGTGTCACACATCCTTTCATGAGCAGCCCGGCGGAACCGGTCCATGGCCGGACCAACGTTTTGGCCGCCAACGTGTGTTTAATACTGAGGTGGTCATGTGTCCTGACCTCCATATCATACACAAACTACTATAGTGTCGCGTATAAAAGCATGACCCGTATAGAAGCCGATTTGTTTGAAGAGCGCCATGGCACAGAAGCACGATTTGAATAGAAGCATACGTGCAAGTACATGTATGTGCACACTACATGCATGACAATGTGCACTGTACAGTGTAGACGGAAGATTTTGACGTAGAAGCATGTTTTGAATAGAAGCATGGTTTGAACCCCGGCTTATACGGCCGTAAGCACCAGGTTTTATACGCGACATTACGGGATATGAAAGACAAGGGTATGGCCGGACCAATCGAAAGCTGCTTCCGCCGGTCCTGATGAGTGCATTGCTGCAAATGCAGCTGTCTGTCACATTCAAGCACATAGGAGGTTTGTTCGGATGAAGCACTCTAACTTACAACCACTCAAGGCCTATTCTGAAGTCTTCTCTTCAACTTTCTTTCTCAGCATCTGCGCAAGATCACGGTGAACTAGCGTCTCACTTCCGTCCAGAGCAATAATGAAGTGATCGAATGCCGCTGAGCCCAAACCAGGAAGGGCAGTGAGGAAGCAATCAGCCTAAGCGCATTAGACAACAGGGCAGACAACAACACCACCACCAAGCATCAACTTGCAGCCCGTACACTAGAAGCACAGTTCTATCACACAGCCCGGCAGAATTTGAGTGATAAGAATGCATGTGCAAGAACAGTACATGTGGCAGAATTCTCACCTGATCTTTCTGACTGGATTTCTCTGCAATCTTGCACTTGAGGTCTTTCGATATGAATTCCTTCTCATACATGTAGTCAAGGATGTGGTCTTCCACATTCAGGCTGCTCTTCAGATCTAGGTGACGCTGTTGGAGAATTATCTGGTGCAAATGAGTCATCTGCTGCATGGTTTAATGTCAGGGGAGGAGAGGAAAAGAGAGTGTGAAAGTGTGTGCTGCGCCCCCCCCCCCCTCCCTCCCCCTCCCCCTATCAGCTACCTGCCCCGAGATTGATTGGTGTTACTGTGCCTACCTATTCTCTATTGTAACAGAGGTGCAGGCACCACATCATTATAACTGTCAAGTTGTCTCAACATCATAATTCATTCTAATGTACAAGGAGTCGAAGACATACTGATTTTTTCGTCCAGGTAAGAGTCTTGATGGTAAATCAATATAAAATGAAATTCATGGTTCGCGTACAAAGTCAGCCAGACCGACTATTCTGCATCTATTGGAATGGCACTGCCCTCAAGGATCAAGCCGCAAGGAGGAAAACACAGTTCACAGGTCCCAGCCACACAGGATAGTGTACAGTTTGAAGTGTACAATGTGCAGTGGACCAGTTGCAGTGGACAATTGAATACAAAATGCCCATAGTAATACTTGGATAAGTTGGAGTTTTGAAGTACATGTACAAGCATTGCCTCGGTTCTGGAGATTTTGTACGTTGTGGCAGCAGCACAACACCTGAATCAATACATTCACCATACTTACCACAGCCTCACACTTGTCGCTGCTGCTGCTGCTGCGAACCTCACCATTGTCAGAGACAACAGCTGGCACTGCTGCAACCTCTGCACCATGCATGCCAGTACTGGCGTCAGTGGCCGTGAGGCGAAGTTGAACCACTCGTGGTGCGGACTTGACGCTAGTAGTTCCATGGTGGAGACTTTCAGGGTTCAGGGAACATTTGCGAGGGCCAGGACATGACCTGAATGTCTTCACTAGCTCCGACAAGCCTTGCGATTCCAGGACATCTTCGACAAAGAAGCATAGGCCTGCATCGGTGAGGTCCTCTAGGGCAACGTACATATGGTCAGCAGCCTCCACCTGTCGATCTGCCTTCAGCATGGCTCGTACTTCCTTGATACACTCTTTGGTAATGTGGTCTTCGGAGTAAAGCCTTTTAGCGAAACCAATGATGTCCACTTTCAGACTGCTCTGAACAACTGCATAGTGCTTTCGCAGTGCTCGCCTGTAGTCCTCTGCCGTACACACACTGGCCTCAGGGGCTTGTTGCGGAAGTGCAGCAATACCTGCAGACACATTAACAACAAACTGCATGGCTGTAAACTATATAAGAAGTGGCACGCCCCAGCGCAGCCCTACATGGTCTCTTTGCTGTGCAAAAGGAACACATCTTCATAGCAAAGAGACCATGTGGTATGGGTGATCAGACTGAGTACTGCATGGTTGTGTACCGAAACAATAAAGGAGCATGGTGGCACAGCAACACCCAGCTCTGACCACTATTTCATTTTACCCAGCAGTTTTCAAATTCACTGGTTTGAGGGAAAGATGCAAACGGGAAAAGTCTGAAGAAAAAATTGACTGTCACCACCAGGACTCAAACCAGGGACCCTCGCTTGAGGCCAGCGATGTTCTTACCACTGAGCTATGGTGTAGTCGTCATCCCAGCAGATACCGTTCAACATTTTCTTCAGACTTCATAACTCACACTTCTAAAATGCTTTATTATTCACAAGACCTCATTGTGATCGGTTCGGCCAGTCACTCTGATCTCCGCTGTTGAAACCTAAGAAAGTCAAAGCAGCTACCTATCCGGAGATCAAGTACGTTTATGCACAATCTTGGTTTCAGAACTGTTGGAATATATTGAGTTTCCGGACTCTGCAGATTCAAAGTGGTTCTTAGCTGTCCAAATCTTACCATCAAATAGAGTGCAATGTTGATTCATGTTGTTGATGCATGACTTACAACTAGGACCAGGCATTGTAGGTTCATCCAGAAGCAAGCTGGTTGTATGAGTTACTGTCCTGGTATTTGCCTGTATAATCAAACAAGCAAACACAAAAAGAAGATGGGTGCCTGTCATTCACCGGACACTGTTTTTTAATGCAACCTCTGAAATGGCAGACACCCACACATCTCTCATCGGTGCGAAAGCAAGAATCCATCCAAGCACAGTGCACAACACATACATCCACACTTTGCATGTCGCTTGGAAGTAGAATGTACTGGCTCACAAGCATCACGCACGAGCAAGTGCTGCTTAGTTAGGAATGCCTAGATCTTGCTAGTCTTGAAGTGAGCCAGTGGAACACCGAGTCCTTCTAATGTGCAGGTACAATACGTGATGCAGGCACGCGATGGCCAGAGTACATCAACAAGAGTGTGCAACTCCGGGAGAATGAGCTGCACACCCTTAAATCAGTGAATTTGACTGACACGCATACTAGTACATATTTCCTTGTAAGTTGATGTATCATAGGAGATGAGGAACTGCATTTGAAAAGGGTAGCGAAGCCCTAATAAGACATGTTGTTACTGGGAGTCAAATGTGTAGCAGGTTTCAGAACGGCCCCGTGTGGAGGGTATCGTGAAAAATAACACCAACTCAGTGAGAAAAGGAAAACTTGCCTAAGTCATAGGATTTGGACTCAGCGGACGGATCAAGTGTCCAATGAAGTCTGTCCTGCAAATGTGACACGGTGTATGCTGTCCATGCAGCCGCATGTGGTCATGCACCAGTGCCTATATAGTCCAAGCAAATGTGCATTATGCAGTGTGTTACCAGATCACCTCGCTGCAAGAAAGCTTTGAGATCTTTGAGAAAGAAATGCGTGTTACGGTAAAGGGGTGGGTACTGTAAGGCGTGCATCTAACGTTTTAACGAGTGACATTTCTTCGCTATAATAAGTTCTGTTGAGGCTGTAATTCCTCATATGTGTTATGTGTGGATATGCCTGAAGACTGCAGGATCGTTAATTAGGTTTGGAACTCGTTATAATGATATTATGTCTTACAGTATGTGTCAAAAATCTTCTAAGGTTTTAGAATACAGTAGTTTTCCATGCCAGGCCATGCACTCACCGACTTCTTGGTCATTGGTATAGGCCAGAAATCTGCTAGAGCCGATTCATCCTGGGCAACCTGACTCCTAGGACACCGCGGCTTTTTCTTGTCGATGAGTGGGATGAAGTGTACGCACTCCAGCTCGTGGCAGTTGGGTTGGTCATGGCGCTTGCATGACTTCTTGTTCAACGAACAGCGGCAGATGACCGCCTTTAGGATCTTCAAATTTTCCAAACCATTTGCCTTCAGATCCTGGAGTTCCTCCTCCAGGAAAGGAAGAAGCTCGTCACACATTTCTGGTATGCTTCTGGGGTAGCCATCATCCTCATCATCGCATCCAACCATGGCTGCTGCGTCACCTTGTTGCTCAACAGTAACACGGATTCCACGCTGGAAGTGTTGGAAGATAACATGGAAGTTGTCATAGCATAGGATCTGTGCAGCATTGTGGTACAGAACCGGGTCCTCTGACGGGCAATAATGAGCCAAGCAACGAACCAACAGGCACCAGAAAAGTGTGCCTGGGAAGAACTGGCGCTCTTCGCAGCACAGGAAGATTGGTGGCGACTTCTGCGCTTCCTGCAGTTCAATCGGCTTCTCCAACATGAGGGTGACCATTGAGGGTACGAAGAACTTGCGTGTTTGCTCACCGGTGCTCTCTATGGCCATTATTTGTTTGGTGTCGTACAGCAGTGAGAACTCCTGCATCACGTTGAACAACACATCACGGTCCTCTTGGCTCTCTGTGTAGCGCTGTGTCTGTTCAACTTCACCATGTTGTTTCCACAGCAGTTTGGCAAGGCTCTCTGTCAGAATGCCACGCTCTGCCAGCAAATCATACTGCTCACGGAAAAGCTTTTCCTGGTCCTCCTTGGGCTGCGGGCAGAAGAGCAAACTGGTGACATTGGTCAACCAGTGCACATCGGTGAACACCGTATCTGCCAGCTTTGTGTTCCTGGCATAGTGCCTCAGATGACCGAGATCATGGTAGAATGCCAGCATATCCTTGATGTTCACAGGCTGGGGTGACTTCTCACAAGCTTTCCGAACAACAATTTCCACATCGTGTAGAGAGAGCCATGAGACTTTCTCGGCCTTGGCACGCTCCCTGAGTACAAACGACGCTGGTAGCCAAATGAGTGGTGTTGGATATACAAACTGCTTAGTGAGCGACTCAATGATACGTCGTCGCAGCTGCACAACACTCTTATCTTGCTCCCCGCTGCCAGACAGAGTGTTATCTACGAACAGAATAGCATCGATGCAGTTCTCATAGAACTTTCCTCTTGCATTACTCCTGATGTAATGTTTGATTTCTTCGAGCTTTTCACCTCGTTGCTCAGCTGGAATCTTGTCGATCTTTGTTCCGATGATGAAGAGAGGAGCAGAAGCTTTGCTTTGCGTACCAATGACCTGTGAAATGACATTGAGCCAGGACTCCAAGATGTCGAAGTTGGTAGCGCCAGCGGTGCCTGGAATGTGAATCTCCCTACCGTCCTGACCCATGGTGGGTACGTGTGGGTCCTGCAGAGGTTCAGATGCGTCAAACACTACCAAATAGGCGCAGCGCAGAGCTGAGAACAGAACATGCTGAACTGCTGCGAACAGTTCTTGTCCAGCGAAATCCCAGATTTCCAGGAACGCAAACTTCTTCACCAGTTCAGCAAATTTCTCCTCAAATCCAGTGCTGATGGATGACAGGAACTGGTTGGAGTAGTAGTGGATGTCTGCATCGGCGGGTAGTCCATGTACTGTGCTCTCAGAGGAATTCCGACTGCGTTCCTCAGTCCCGCTATCTCCATCTTTTAGTGACGTTGTGTGTGTTTCCATGCGATGGGCCCCATCAGTAGGCGATGTGTCCGTTGAAGATGTTTTCTGGTCCGACCTGCATTTTTCGACCACAATGGTTGCAGGTGACTTGCCATCGGAGTCTTTGTCATGCTCTGGTGTCACTGGTTTTTCCAAGTCTTCGGTAGCAGAAGAACTTGTACTTGAAACTGCCGGTAGAGTATCCACTGTCGCACTACCAGCAGGATCATCTTCAGTGGATGTAACAGCAGACTTGGTGGCCTCGTTTCTTTGTGGACTGAGGTCGGAATTCGTGTTGGGATCTCTGATGTAGTCACCAATCAGCTTCTGAGCCAGCAGACAGAAGAAGTGAAATTCATCCTTCTCGATATGCCATGCGTAGTGATCGCCATCTTGCTCAACGGTGCAGACAGCTTTCTTGAGCTCAACGCCAAGCGTGCTGTCCACCACCACTTTGAACAGCATATTCAGCAAGGACATGGCTAGACAAGTCTTGCCTGTTCTGCCTTTTCCACACACCAGCAATCGACCATGCGGGATAGCAAACTTTCCATTCTGGAGAGCTTTCTGATAAGCTTCAGTGTTCACGCCTTGCAAGCACTCTGTGACGGCAGAAAACAAAAATCGAGAACGAACAAAAAAACAAAAGAGATAATTCAGTGCAATCCATGTCACACCAATGCTCGAAGACCAGGAACTGCTTCCTCCGTTACCAGAAGCTTGTGTACCCTTTGCGTGCTGAGTAAAACTTATAATCGTGTTTTTCCTCAAATTAAAGGACCCATATCCCAGGCTGAGTTTTCTTTCATCTTCTGTGGGTGCTACTAAGACAAAGCTCATAAACGCAAGAACACACATTTCTATTCGCATACACTCACGCACGCGCGGGCGCACACGTACAAGTTGGACATGACGAACTCAAGACGATGGCTGCTTTTGACACAGCAGCAACACGCACATGCACCAACACCACATAATACAACAACATACTACAACATATGGATGAAGAAACTAACCTAACGAGAATGACTGTGTTTTCCTCAGCACATATTTTGAGATAGTTTTACAGGTGCCATGCGAATTCTGACATCGGACTTTGTTGAAACTTAGTTGGAGCTGAAATCTACTACAGGACAACCTACTAAAGCTGACAACTCCATGGATCCACAAAGCCCACCCACGCATGCAAGCAATCCCCTTATTCAGGACTAAATGACGTGAACTGGCAACATCTGACCCTGGGTACTGCGCTGGCAGTGGTCCTCTGGGCCAGATGGTCCTGTAATCAGAGTGGTCTTCTTCGGAGGTTGTAGTGTGCCATGCTTTCCCTGGAACACTGTGTGCGACACGAAATTCTGTTAGATATGCTGCATATGCATAATGCAAGTCCTTCTATGCAACCGACTTCGTCCTTCGTATCATCAGTTCACACATTCGGGGTTTTCCCATTTGTGACCAGATCCTTGCACCGACATAGCCATAGCCATAGGATGGTCATACCTACTGGCCATGCTAGCGGCAATGCACTGTACAAGCTATTCATGCAGATTTGAACAGGATATTCGTGACACTTTGTACCAGACTACTGACCTGGTGGGGTAGCTCTCAGCTTGATTGCCTTTGCCTTTCGTCGTTTCCTCCGCTTAGTGGAGACTGTTGCAGTAGGCGGTGGTGTTGACGTTGACCGCTCCGGTCTGGTCTCCTTCTCCGATTCTCCATCTGTGCTGCAGAGATTGACTTTCGGTACTGCGTCGAGATTAACTGCTGGACTTGGTCCAATTGATGCAGCAAGTGCGACTTGAGAATCAGCAGGGACCGGTTGAGACGGAGGTCTTGATGTTGCTCTTGCGGATGAGCTCATTTCAGATGCAGATGCTAACGGTACTCCAGTGCCTGGTGTGGATACAGCTCTAGATGGAGCAATGGCAGATGCATGTCCTGATGGAAGATTGGCCAACGGCTGGGTTGCTGGTTGAATTAGAACTTCCGAAAAGAACTGAACAGGCGCACCAACCTGTACTGGCCACACTTGATTATATCTATTTCTGAAAACTGCATAGGAAATAGAGGAAACCACCAGAGGACAGTTGTGTGAGCTCTGTGAAACGTGTTCCATGAGCTTGGTGCTTACATGCGTATATTCTTGCTGTTTAATTCGACCTTTCAGCCAGCTAATGACAGGCTGCCACCCTGGACTAGAGTTGCAGGTTGTCTTAAACTGAACACCCAAACATATAGTTTGACTATGCCAGATCTTTTTTTATGGAAAACGTTCACCATAGATAACTTAGAAAATTCCACTCTATAAAGAGGACAATGTCAATGCTGGTACTCGGGTCACAAAGTGGAAGGAAAGAGAAAGGACCAACATGTTACAAGTTATGAACAGTCCACCAAGGTAACGACTATCTAACAGTATAATATGTTGTTACCTTGGTGGACTGTTTAGTCATAACTTGTAACTTATTGGTACTTTCTTTTTACTACACAATTTGGAGCTGTTTTCACAGCCACTGTTTGTCATGACAGCTGTCATTCTTCAATCTAGTGGACTGTTTTACTGCAAATTGTGGGTCTTCAAACCATCATACTACAACTCAGCCGTAACCCTTTGCGGGCCAGCCATACAAGTTTCAAACATATGTGTTCGAAACTTCAAACGACAATAACTTGGTCAACATCTAGCTGTTTTTGACTATTAAAATATCTAAATCGAAGAGGAAGCTCGTACCATTCCATCGCCGCAATCGGCGAAGCGATAGGACGTACCATGGATGTGCTACAGTGCTTTGAAGTTGAGTCACGGCACTACGCTAGGAAAGTGTGTCTGCCTGTCATTGACTTGGGGATTTCCCCATTTCCGCCGGCTGTTTCTACGGGAACACGGATTTAAATTGCGCTTGGGAGGTGAGTGGATCTTCACAAAAAAAAAGAGATTGATAGGTGCAAGGAGAGTGAAATGGCCGATGAGGATTGATCTTCAGGACGATTCCAGCCCTGGAGCGCTGTATTGTATTTGTATTGTTTTTATTATTTTACTTGGGCATTCCCAACAGACCCTAAGGTCTTCTTAGCGCTGTCGCTGGGCTGCTGCGCTGGCCCCGTCGTGTGTGTTGACTTGAGTTTGAGCTCAAACTGTTCCTCTTGAGATCTTTCCAGGGAGCCCAAAATCGTAAAAATTCGATCAAGATATACTACTTCAAGTAACGTTATGACACGTTGTGTGTCCACATTTTGGAAAACTGCGGCAAATTTCATTCTGTGATGTGATTTATCGGCCGGAAAAGGGTTAAGATTTCTGCCCCGCAGGCATCCATTGGCCGCCACATGTCGACGCTCCTTCACACACTACATAACTGCTAGAAGGCACATGCTTTTTTTCGTAACACTGCTACATGTATGTCACAGCTCAGCTCGAAATGTTGTGTTTCATTACTTACCTGCTCTGAGATCCACACCATAGAATCCGAGTTTGGAGAATAATCTTTGGTAAAATCCAAGTGGAAGATGTTGGACAACCGCTGGGCCAAGCACCAGCGCTAAGAGTCCAAAAATACTGGCAACAGTGCCATTGTCCAGCATGTTATCCATGACTTCTTCTAAACTCTTCTTGACAGCCTCCTTATCTTCACCATGGGTCAGTAGAGATGCAGCACATCCTGAGTACGCCTCACTGGAAATACAGGAGTAGCGGTCTAGGGCTTCAATGAGGACGCCTTGCAGTACAGTTGGCCTAACTGTTGACAGCAACTCTGCAATCTCATGCTTGACGCCGGCGAACAAAGTGCACCATGGATCTGTCAACAACAAGTGCAGAGCCATGTTTTCATTAAACGTAATTATTCACTACCAAAACACAATTGCCTCATCAACAATGCACACACAGCGTTGATGCATGTACTGGTAGTTATTTCAGAACCTATTTCGACAAAGCACTAGTATGACTCATCCATTCTCAGAACCACCGGAAGCAGTTTTCAATTGGTCCGGTTGTACAATAGTCTTTCATACTTTTGTGTACAGTACTATGGCGGGTACTTATGCCCTCCTCAGCAGTAAACATGCGATGGTAGCTACAAAGTTGGTCCGGCGTTAACCTGACCAATCGCACCGGTTCTGGTGGGCCTGATTCTAGTAGGGGTCAGCAAGCCGAGTTGAATGGTCTTGGTGTGAGGAGGCAGGGATGTATTGTTTGTCAGATTTCCTCAAGCAAACTTGTGCTACACAAATCGGCGTAATTTTGCTTCCATCACTGAGTTGGTCCAATGAGCCCCACATACAGTTTTGAAAGTAAAAACTGCCCGATTGTGGAGCCCGCTGAATTAGGGAATGATGATCACCAGACAAAGACATGTCGACATTGTATAGCTCCAGAGGACAACGAGGACAGCACAAAGACTGTTCGTCCCAGCAGCCATGCGACAACATGTTCGGAATTTTTGCATAGGAGGTGGCGATGCTGAGCTGAAGAAAAAGTTTGAGTTTGTGCCAGGTTGTCGTTTAGAGCTGAGAATGTAGGCATGTATCCAACGTACATGCAACTTGAAACTGGGCCGTGCAAAATGAGATACACACTTTCTGAAGCATGGCGTAAAGGCGTTTCAGAGGGCGTAGCAAATCAAGTAGGCCTCGACCAAATATGCTTGCGCATATTTCCGCATATTTTGTGAGACTGTTCATATATTATGGCATATTGAGCGACAAAGGGAATATTGGAATGAAGGCATCATATAATTCAAATATTCTGAAGAAAATGAGGACAAAACATTCATATTATGGACAAAATGCATTCAGAACTGCCTTTTATGGACGAATTTGGAATGGTTGAGGCGTTTGCTACATTTCCGCATGGATGAACATTATCGCTACCGTTGCTGGGGACACACCCCAGCCATACTATTCCGCATGTGTTTTGATTTGCACCATAAGCACAAGAGCCGTGAAGCCAATGAATATTCCAAGCTTGCAAGATTGTAATTTTACTGAAATGATCTACACTTTCTGCTTATGTCGAGCATATTTTGGCATATTTGGGCATATCTTTTTGCATATCTTGCTAAGCCTTTGGCATATTATGGACGTTTTCCCTGATATGCGACGAGCATATGCTCTTTTTTTTAGCATGTTTGGTCGAGGCCTAAAATCAAGACACCGATTGGGTAGTCTAGGTCAAAAGATGCTGCAATACATGGCTTCCCAGTCAAACAGGGTCCACAGTTAGCAACCTTTGAAATTATCTTTCCTTTCAAAAATGTACCTGTGGCCTGGATTCAGTGACATCATGAGGATGTGACGTTGGCCCTCTTCAGACTAGGTACAAAACAGCCTATAAGTCACATTTACATAGAAGTTTCCAAGACAACAACAAGAATCTGGCGGGAAGCCTAAAAGCTGCCCAATCCTTTCAGGCAGGGTGCCAACCCTTGTACAAGGCAACTTTCCCGCATTTATCGTACTTTCACCAGGCAGTTGTACGAACTTTGTACCCGGGTACGACTGTCGCGTGCATGTCCGCTGCTTTCACACATCCCAGGCCCCTTGCGCAATTTCGTAGGGTCAAAGGTTGCCTGTATATTGCATGTAAAATGTGTAGTCTGAATGCAGGCATGGAAAAATGTTGCCTTTTAGGTTATATGTGATTTTGTACTGGATTTTCTATGTACGTAGTCTGATGAGGGCCTAAGGCCGCAACCACACTACGTAAAAATCACAGTACAAATTTTCATGCATATCTCAGTGCAAGTCGGTACGCAACCACACTACACTTTTTGGTCTGCATAGATGACGTTTTCACGCAACCAGCACGTGACGTTGTCGTACCAAAGCGTGTGCCATGCGCTGGAAAAGACCGGGAAATTCAAAAACAATGCTGATGCTGATGCTATGTACGACAACCAGGTACAAAAACAAAGTTGTACACAGGAGATGGACCGCGAAAACGACGAAAACGACAAACGTGGCTTTCTACAGGGGTGCGCCAGTTGCTGAAAACCTACAAAGCGCATTTTGCATTTCGCACGCGTCGGCATGACGATTTCTACTGTAATGCCGTTTGTACGTGGTTTTGTACCTAGTGTGGTTGCAGCCTTACACAGCATAAGTTCACATGTGAATACATGTATCTCCGGACATAACCATGAAACTTTTGTTGTTAAAGGGGAAGTTAAGGCAAAAATTAAAATTTCACCAGTTGTAGTCTTCGGGGTGCTGAGTCGAATGGTCGTGGTCCGAGGAAGCTGAGACGCTCCCTTCCTACTTGAATCCCAATCGAACTCGCGCACTTCCACCGAAACTGGGTGACTGCGCCCTACGAGATGGGGATTTGTATGCAAAATGTCACTAAAAGCGCCATTTCGTTCTTATAAAAGCACGGATGACCGCGATTGGCCCATATGTTGTAGTCTTTTGGACGCTGAGTCGACTGGTTTTGGTCCGAAAAGGCTGCGATGCAGCGTTCCGCCTTTATTCCCAATCGAACATGGTTGAACAAGCGGTCACGTGCTCCTGCGTACGCCAGTCACCTGGTCACCGTGCCTGCAGGGTACAACTTACTAGCCTGTTTGACCTTTTTTGGGTGCAGTCCTGTCACTCGAGTTGAACTCGAGTTGAACCTTGGTGTGAAAGTTGTCACCTGCTGGCGTGGTGACCAGGTGATTTGGGCACCCAGGAGCACGTGACCACTTGTTCAACCATGTTCGATTGGGAATAAAGGAGGAACGCTGCATCGCAGCCTTTTCGGACCAAAACCAGTCGACTCAGCGTCCAAAAGACTACAACATATGGGCCAATCGCGGTCATCCGTGCTTTTATAAGAACGAAATGGCGCTTTTAGTGACATTTTGCATACAAATCCCCATCTCGTAGGGCGCAGTCACCCAGTTTCGGTGGAAGTGCGTGAGTTCGATTGGGATTCAAGTAGGAAGGGAGCGTCTCAGCTTCCTCGGACCACGACCATTCGACTCAGCACCCCGAAGACTACAACTGGTGAAATTTTAATTTTTGCCTTAACTTCCCCTTTAAAGGGGAAGCTCACCCTAAAATGAAAACTTCACAACATGTAGCAAAAATGCACTGATTCCAATGGTGAAGGTCCCGGGTTCATCGGAGCAGGCGTTCCAGAGTTATACCAGCTTGACGTTTGCACTAAATTTGGTGACATCATGATGACGTCATAAACTTGCCCAGACCAGGCCGGATTTATGACGTCAGAGAGATAGACTTTGTATGGGAGTAGATGGGGAAAAGCCAATTTCACTCTTGTATCTCTGCAACAATGAATTTCATAGTTATTACCGGTACCAGGATTTTTTCCAGTGGGGATACCGGTAGGGTGCCATATGTCCCATACCAAAGTTTGAAAGAGATTCGACTTCTTTGGGACAATGGGGAGCCAAAATACTGAAATAGATAAACAAATCTTCACAGTATTTTGAAGTAGTATGTTCGCTCGTCAGCTCGTGGAATACACGTTATATGTAGCTGAATCTGTGGAGCTTTGGAGCTGCCGTTGAAACAAACTTCCATGGCTAGTTTAGACTAGAGATAGAAGTAAGTGCTATCAATGGGTACTGTGAATGATGCTTTACACATGCAGCTAAGAATTCGCCTTTTAGGTTTAGGACTTTAGGTGCATTTTGAAGTGCATTATTTATCAGTTACGAAGGAAACTGTATGGTAATATACTAGTACTGTATGGCAGGAATTTTCGGACGGAATTTATTTTCGTACAATTTCGTACATGGCCTCTTTTGTACTAAAATACATTCTGTACTAAATTTGTTCATGTGAAATTATGTACACTATACAATAGTATACATGCGTACTGCTTGCGAACACGTGCATTTAGCATGCAGCACTGTACGAAAATAAAATCCGTACGAAAGGTCAAAATTCGGCTTTGTCCGAAAATGTCCTGCTATATAGAGTATGCCATTTCGAAACAAGAGGGCAAGGCTCAGGGCCCTACGCTATGCTTTTTTGCCTAGCTCATCATGCATGTTAATAGAACTGATGGAAATGTTTTTTTCCATTGATTGGCTACATCATTGTACACTGTATTGCAAAAACGTTTCAATCAGTTTGAATATGAGTCAGGCAAAAGTAATTGCAGAATTTATTGCGGATTGTTATTTTCTCTCACTTCATCCACTTTTGGTTTGCTCCTTCTTTTCCTTTTTTATATCTCCTTATATTATAATCGGATTTTCTGGCCTTTTTGTAGTAATACATTGACCTGTTGAGCCCATGAGGTAAAATTATATTCCATACAATACAATACAATAATACAATAATGTCCTTGCCATGATAGTGTGCTTGTGCTTAACTGTTGCTGACGGCCGAATGCATGGTTGCCTGTGGAGCACCAGGCGCGTGCCCCGTATGGGTTCCTGGGTGCCCGGAACCCCCCTTTTCGCTCTAAATGCAGGATTTTGCTTCATTTTTTGAAAATTTTCTCGGGGGAGGCCCCGGAACCCCCCCCCCTTGAAGGGCACCGGCGCACGCGCCTGAGCACATTACATGACTTTGCAGTCTCCTATAATATGCATCCGGTCCGACAGCAAAAGAGGCTGCGGATTTAGTTTTTATGCACGTTATCAGCAATGACTACTGATCTTCAGCAACTTGGGTTTCCTATAATACGCATCCTGTCTATGCTTTTGTAATGCTAACATAATGCTCGTGATAGCACTCGCTACTGATCTTCAGAAACTTGGCCTGACTATCACTCGCAATAAGACTGTTGTAATGTTCATCGTTCCCAAGCGGTCGCTGGTTTCTCCCACAATTTCATCGTACTGTTGTACGACATGCTATACGACATCCTTATACCATACAACACCGTATTGATGTCTGGCGCTGTCGCCTTCATCTCTGATGCGAGTGTAATCTAGTGACTTCGTACATGCGTTATATTAGACCAATCCCTTTGTCTGAGTTCGTGAAAAGGGCCTCGCGTGCAAGTCAGCTCGTGTGAAGTGCATGGTTTTGTATTTAGTTGGTATGTGGTAGCTTATGGGACAGAGCGACTTTTGCTCCCCGAGCCTGTGTACGTAAATAATATTTTACGTCGACCATGACGGCTCGATTCAAATTGCAGAGCGGCTGCTCCGATACGAACTCTAAAACCAGAAAATAATAATGGCTACAATTCCCAATCATACCACAACGAACTGATCGCCGGCTACATCATTGTATTGCAAACAGTTTCCATCTGTCCGAATAACATGCATGATGAGCTAGGCAAAAAAGCATAGCGTAGTGCCGTGAGCGAAAGAAATAAACTTTCTCTTTGCATTCGAGGGTAATACGACACCGTCGACCACCTTGATGACCTAGGCAAAAAAGCATAGGGATGTTATAAATTTTTCATTTCTCCTCGTTTTTCAAGACATAACCTAGGATTCGAACCTACACTATCGCCCTGCATGCATTCCCCCGATACACTTCGCATACATACTCATTCTTCCAAGTTGCTCCACGTTATGATCTTGCATTTGAAAGCCTTATTTGAATATTTTGGCCAGCTGTCTTTGATGTTACGGTACGGGACAGGAAAGGGGTAGCGCCAGGCATGCCGATGGCACAAACAAACAAACAAACACAGAATTAAAGCTATGTGAACCCTGGCTAGCGCCAGATGTTACTGAAGTAACGTCTTTTGCATAGCTACGGGGATAAATTGTAATTCGTTCTAGATACTCTGCGGCTTATTCTTCTCAAATTTTAATGATGATGCCAGTCATTCTTCTTTCCCATCGTGGGCCTTTCATGTTTCGACTTTGCTGTTAGGACAATATTATACAATAGAATAATAACATCATACATTGACAGTACGAGTACTGTTGAATTGCAAGCACACAGTTTAAGAAATTTAAAAAAAGCGCACGTAAGTATTCTTGTTCTGCATTGTGCAAGCGCATGTGGCGTCTGTGTGTCTATGGATCCCATGTGTTCTACGTGCGCTGGAGTACTGCTACCGTACCAGGCACTGCCTTTGCGGCAGGGTCTGGTGCAGTGGCAGTGCACCAGCGTACTTGTACATAGAACGCCTGGGGTCAAAGGTGGTACGGATGTGTACGAATGTATATTCCCCGGAATTCCGGGGAATATCGTGCTATATTCCCCGGTTATAATGGCTGCTGATTGGCTGAATCCATGGTTTCCTACCGTACTATGGGATAATGTTGCATATAATTATAAGGAGCTGTTTTGCTAACATTCATCCTCGACTCTCGGGGAGCTCACTACTCCTTCGATTCACTCTGGATTCTGGGAAAGTCACTCTGACTCTCCCCTGCTCTGGGTCTTTGACTCTTCATGCTTGATCTTTCGATCCAGTATTGCTACGGTTCAATAAACACTGTTCAAGTGGAAGTAGAAGCCTGTTGTTCTGTGTGAGCTAGCTAAATTGGATGGCGACTATATTGGTCGTCTACCTGGGTAGCCACTAGACTGGTCTAAGCCAGGTCACAAACCCGCTTGAATGCGGCCATGACACCAATATGTCGGTGCCTCCCCACTGTAGAATTTCACCCCGGTTTTCACCAACCACCATTTCTCATCGCTCTCCATACACAGCAAAGAAAAAATAGGACTGGACTTCCCCTACAAGATGCTACAGTCAAACCTCGTTAGGACGAACACTGATAACTAGTGATAAGGTGAACTTTCCTTTAGTACGAACTAGGGCGAATCCTATGGTTGGCTAGGCATCATATCAAGTCAAAATTATTCGTTTACAGCGAACTTTGTACGGCGAACTTTCGTGAAGACGAACTAATTTCAAGCGTGATTTGAACAAAATCAGCGTGTAGTACGAACTTTTGGTCCCCGTGGGTACGCTGGCTGTAGTTTTCCGATAGTATAGTCGAGGCCTCTTGTACTAATTGTACTGGCAAAACATGTTACCAGGCGGATGTAATGGTGTCATTGCACATTGTACTTACCTATTGCTGTGCTATGTTAGGAAAAACGGTTTTACATTTGCCACAGCATGCACCTCCACATAAATACAATCCATATGATATGCATATCAATTTTTGTCAGATCTGGACAAGAAGAACTCCGGATACTGAGACAAACAAACTTGTTCGGTCCTTTGAAGTTCGTCCTAACGAGGTTTGACTGTACTTCTAGTACATGTGGTTGCAAACTTGTTAGGCTGTAGTACTCTACCTTTTGTGACTGCTTCCGGACCTGCCCGGACACGGAGATCCCATGTCTTCTGGAGGTAATCAGCAATACATTGGTTGCAACGCTGCGGACTCCTGGAAAGCACATCAATCAGTCTCATGCCCCCTTCCGTGCCAGTATCCAGCAATGCAGTGACCGTCACCATGACAGGATCTCTGTTGGGGTCGAGTCCTTTCGGGTGCTTGAATCCACGAACCAGCTGCTTGTGCTCCTGAACGTCGAGTCGGATATGGTGCAGCAATCCATAGATTGGCCTGATGACGTCGTACCAAAAGTCGGCCATCGCCTGCATTGTTAAAAGATAGTCAATCCGCCAATCTACAAATTACTGCAGCTGCATTGCATACTAGTACTAGGGAGGGGGGGGGGAGGGGGAGGGGGGGGGGAGGGAGGGCAGACCACGGGCATGTCTACAATCCGAACTGCTAAAAACTGAACGTGTTTCTCAATAATAGAGTGGATGGCTCTTGTTGTAAATGTTAAAGTAAAGTTTGCACGTTCCCTCATCAGTTGAGCTTGGGGAGGCTAATGAAGTTTGTGCACCAAGAGCACTGCAATGTGTAGAGCTCTTCGAGCCTAAACATCACTAGTGATACCAATTTACAGTGACACTCCTTTTCCAGCACCCACAAACACCTCGCCAACTCCAGACAGCAGGGTGAGTTAGTGTCGCTCCTGGATGGTAAGAACAGACGTTGAGGACCCTTGGTCATTTGCATCGCTGTCACCTACCAACCAGTTAGCTACAGTAAATGCCTATGGGTTGCAACTGTCAGTAGAAGGATCCAAGGATCTATGTGTAGGATGCAAAATGCAAACATAGCACCCCAATCTTAGGCCGTGGTCACACCGAGCAAAACTCCGCCATTCCACGCGGAATTTGTCCGCGGTTTCCATGGAAATCGCGGAACGGCGGACACTTTCCGCTGGCGGAATTCAGCCAGCAAGTGGCCGGCTGAATTCCGCCGAGTCTGCTAGGACGCCGTTCCGCTGACTTCCTTCTTGAGTTTTTGTTTATTTGAGGATGGGAATTTCAGTAGGAATTTCGTTGCCGTCTACTGATATGTTCCGCCCAAAGCTTTGGCAAAGCAAGGAAAGTAGCTGAGCAGAGCACGATAGACTATTAAAATTTGTTTGAGCTTGATTATTTCCTTCAGCCTTCCGTTCAATCTGTGTTCTTCGGTTCGAGTTTTAAGTAGCCCGTATCTTTTTTTTCGTCGTATACCTTTTGCGCCGTGATCATGTGGACTCCGGAGCTTGAAACAAAACATGTGGAGCTGTGTTGGAGAGAGCAAGCAAGAGAGAGAGAGAGAGAGAGAGAGAGAGAGAGAGAGAGAGAGAGAGAGAGAGAGAGAGAGAGAGAGAGAGGGAGAGATGGAGAGAGAGAGAGAGAGATAGATAGATAGATTGATAGATAGATCGATAGATAGATAGATAGATAGAGAGAGAGAGAGAGAGAGATGCTTGAATCCCCCAAGAAGCTGCTCATGCTCTTTGACGGTGATTCCGATGTGGAAAAGCCACCCATAGATTGGTCTGACTACGTCACACCAAACATCTGCCATTCCCTGCATCGTACAATGAAGACATTGATTGATTGAATGATTGAGAGAGAGAGAGAGAGAGAGACTCGGAGAGGCTCAGAGAGAGAGAGAGAGAGAGAGAGAGAGAGAGAGAGAGAGAGAGAGAGAGAGAGAGAGAGAGAGAGAGAGAGAGAGAGAGAGAGAGAGAGAGAGAGAGAGAGAGAGAGAGAGAGAGAGAGAGAGAGAGAGAGAGAGAGAGAGAGAGAGAGAGAGAGAGAGAGAGAGAGAGAGAGAGAGCAAGAGAGAGAGAGAGAGAGAGAGAGAGGGAGAGAGACTGAGGTGATATTCATGATTGCACGTGGGCTGGTTGTGTCATGTGTGTAAGGAATGACATCATTTCTTTCAAAATGGCCGACCTGGGACAGTAACATAATGTACACGTAGGTAGAGGTCTGGCAGCACTGTATCTGTAGGTTGCAGTATAATTATTGTCTCTGGGTCCAGTCCATTAGGTCCCATCATCTTCAAAACACGTCTGACTTTGAGCATCACAGCACAGAGTTTCAGACTGAAAGTTCGTCAACAAGCAGGCGCGTGCACCGTATGAGTTTTTCGTGTCTGGAAAGTGGAAACCACCTTTTTTCGGGCAACCTTGCCTACTGGATTGGTTGGTGCCTACTGGATTGGTTATTGTGGATACGGTTTGATCGTTGGGCAGTTTACAGTACAGTGACTATGTCCTTTTTTTCGAAGTGAGAGAGAGAGAGTTGCTTTGCATGCAGTTCAAAACACATTATTATCTCTTTCTTCAATGGAGAGTAGCTACAGAGGGATCGATCTCCAGCTCTGGCCTGCTCCTAGATTGGCGATGATGTTCAAGAAATCCGTTTTGTCTCGAAATTTGAGTCAAGCACGCGCGATGCAAGTCAGTTCAAACCTTGGATATGATTGACGAAATCTCCTTCCAAACTGTTGACTCAAATCAAGATCTCCACAGCCTTTTGTTCTTGCTCATATGCGCAGCAGAGATGTTCGTCAAAAGCTTTGTCGACTGGAAGACGTAAAAATGTGCGTCCGTGATACACTTGCGCTGCTGCAGAACGAAGCGCTGCTCCGGCCGCGCCTCAAGGACGCGGGGCTTCGCTTTTCTTTCGCGAGTTTCCATCGAAGCAAGGTCCATAACTCTTGATTGAAATCATAAGCATGATAAGGAACATGGCCAGTACATGCTGAAAACTTCATCATAAGAACAGAAAGAAAGATACGTCGAATGTAAGCAGTGTTTTGATGAAACGAACATGCCTGGAGTGGACTAGTGAAGTACCTGTTTAGACTGTACTGTCCCCGGGGAAAATCGCGATTCCGCGGCCGCGTTTTTTCCGCGTTTTTGCGATTTTTAAAAGACCGCATTTTCCGCGATTTTCCCCGCGTTTTTTGAACTTTTTTGTTGGACTACACGTACACATAGTGCACTGTTCGGTCAGCAACGTCTCATCGTGGCGGCTTTGTACTCAAATATGACGAGTGCTTACACCAGAGACTTGTAACTGATTGATTTCACTACATACTCACTGAAAATTGCCTCATAACTTATCAACTGCAAACTTGCCGCATATCAATAATATTCACCGCATATTTACCGCAAATTATGCCATATTATGCCGCGTTTTTTCCGCGGTTTTTGCCGGGTTTTTCCGCGATTTTCCCCGGGGACAGACTGTAGTGTAGCCTGGGCGGCTAGGCCTATCAAAACTTTACATGTACGTGTTCAATATGACAAACATGTATATGTGCACATTGCCTTTTGCACCTTTTTGCAAATGCATGTAACTGCTGGTCATGATGTAAAAGGTAACCCGTTTTATCCTGCTGCCGGTTATACTAACATGTCTATGTAACATCGTCCCCTCCCTCAATTCCTCATTAGGCTCTTATGTCTGTCCTTTCTACCCCTGGACTTGGTTCCCTCTCAGACGCGTTGGTGCGGGCATGTTAGCAGTCGAAGGAGCCCCACATCTCATCAGCACCAGTGTCCATGGGGGGGGGGGGGGCTGTACCACTGACCTTGAATCCCCCCTCCTCCCTAGCCCTCGCCGTTATCTCCGACGGGATGTTCGGGGGATGCGCATGTGCACAAATACATAATTAATTATACAGTGGGTCTCCAGATAGAAATTTACCAACTCTGGAAACCCCCTTTTCAAGACTCGGTGCACGCCACTGACAAGAATGACCATGATTTGTTGAATTTCAACCAGGGAATACAACTCCCTGATTTCAACGGTGGTGGACTTTGTCTGTGCTATATTCGTTCGGTCTTCTATGATTCTCTCACCTTTCTTTTCTGTGAAGTCTTCTGCCAGCAGAACTTCTTTCCCGTCGCTACTGAGTACTCTTCTCTCTAGCCTTCATCCAACTTCCTTGAAATTCTCAAGGAAGTTTCTCTTCTCTCTAGTAAGGCATTATTTTCTTCATTTCTGCAGTCAAGCTTCCCTACCGTTGAGCTTTCTCTTCTGCTGTCGTTTCCTTGACCATGCTTTCTATTCATAGATTCTACATGCGCATCAGCCAGAGTTCATGGGGTTTGTGACCTTTGCACCTTCTTTATAATAATAATTATGTCGACGCAGCTCAGGGGTCTATATCAGGGAGTCGTAGTATATTATAGTATCAAGAGTAGATAAACAAGAGTGTGCAACTCGCGGATGGGTTGGCCCACGGCGGAATTTTTTGTTGACGTAATCTTTTCGACGACGCACGCACGCGCTGCGAGCCTTTTGCCAAGTTTTGGAGAGGTTTCCCTCGTGCACTTGACCGGGCTTTAAGTATCTCTTAATTTGCTAAATCCTATATATAGGATTTTGGTCATATTTTTCAACTCAAAATGGGTGTGGCACGAGCATAGAGAAAATTATGTGACCAATTCTTCCTTGCTAGGTCTTAGTAGATATCGAGAGTTGAATAAGATAATTTTTTCAAACACTAACATCTCAGGCTCATCTCCTTGCCCAATATTACTAAGGCCTGTGCCCTATTTTTCGAATCCTATATATAGGATTTGAGATTTTATTGGACCTTGTTTTATCCTTAAAACTGGTAGTTTCATGACGGCATGTGCGATATGTCGTCATGAAACCACACCTGCAATGTTCTTCTGCACATTCACTGCTTCAGTCCTTTCCATGACAGCAGCTGAACAAATATGCTCAAATTTCCAATTTTTGCTGAAAATGGATATTCATCAGAAATGTTATCGCCCTATGAATCTAAAATGTGAACATTCATGCCTCAAACATATTTACAACTTCCATGAAAACCATTATGCCGTTATTACTGGTCGTGATGACCAATAACAACGGCATAAAAGGCACACATTTTCAAATCCTATATATAGGATTTTGGGCCAGCAAATTAAGGTGGCTCCTACCCCTCGGGTCCAAATTTTTTTTGTTTGAAACGTGGCTACAAACGATTGTACTTTGTTCCGTAGGATACCTAGTGTACGAAGACAAAATTTTATCAAGTTCTACCGGCCGGTTTCACTCGGGGGAGGGGCCAAACATAGCATACTCACAATTGCCAATTTAGGCCAAAAAACACCGGAAAACCACTTTTTTGGCCGTAGCACTCGTAGTTACCCCCTTTTTCTTGATGTCCAACATCAGGACAGTAGTATACTTGCTAAATACCAGCATAAGCTTTAGAAGTGGGTAGAATTCTGCTAGAAGGTGACCTTTTTCTCTTTTCGGAATCATCCCATTTCAGCGCACACGTCCCACATATTAGCCCCGCCCACAAGTATTTGACACTGGACTTGACCTGTATTCGATGGTTATGCTATCATAATCTAATAATGGTACTGTGTAGCAATTTTGAGCAGGTTCTACCGAAGGTAACTCTTGAAATAAAACTTTGAAGTGTCAAGTGATGCCATATTTTCAAGAATCAGCACATTGCACTGGGACATTGTCCAACGCCTTAAAACCCCTGACTCCACCATGTGACAGATACGTATCTTGCAATAATTGATTGCAACATCTTCCGAACATAGTAGTAGAGCTTTGGATCAAGTTTTAGCAGTTTCCACCGAAGCTAACTACCAAAATAAAACTTTGAAGTCGCCCACATACTAAATGCAATAGCCGAGCATGTGCATTGAGTGTACGGTCTAAAGGTTTTCACAACTAGCTCCAATGCGGCAGATACGTGTCTTACTTGATTGCAACATCTTCAAAACATAGCAGTAGAGCTTTGGATCAAGTTTTAGCAGTTTCCACCGAAGTTAACTACCGAAATAGAACTTTGAAGTCGCCCACATACTAAATGCCATAGCTGAGCATGTGCATTGTGTGTATGGTCTGAAGGTTTTCACAACTAGCTCCAATGCGGCAGATACGTGTCTTACATTTCTTGATTGCAACATCTTCAGAACATAGTCAGAGTAGAGCTTTGGATCAAGTTTAGACAGTTTCTACCGAAGCGAACTACCAAAATAGAACTTTGAAGTCGCCCACATACTAAATGCCATACATGTAGCTGAGCATGTGTATTGAGTGTACATATATGCTCTAGTGTTTTTCACAACTTTCTCCAACATGAAGCCAATACTGATGTGGAATTTTTGACTGTTTTGTCCAAAACACAGTGCTGAAGCAATGCACATTGGGCACTTTCTACTGGTAATGCAATTATTATTATACAGTGTTTGCTGCCAACATAGCAAGCAATACTGCTATACTAAATGCGTATTCCATTGGCTACGGTCCAATGGCTTTTCACTTTGCATCTAGCCACTGTTCTTCGTGCATTACTTGAATGCTTAGTCTCCATGGTAATGAAGCTAAGAGCCACACTGGAGAAGTTTCTACTGAAGCTAACTACCAAAAATATAAAATTTCCAAGATGCTACTATTACATAAAGTAGCTGTGTGCAATGCAAGTCTGTTGAACACAGTAAGCAAAATTGAGTCACTAAAACCCTATTTGCCAGATATAAGCTGTTGAAACTGATAGCAGCTGAGCTGCATGATCTGATATGGATGGCGGTTCCACACTCACCAGCACATGTACACGTGCACAGGCAGAAGAACATACAAGTAATACACCTAACGTTACTTCGAAGTCCATCATGTAAATACAAGCGTATATACAAGCATCACTCCTGTTCTCCACAACCTGCAGTCCTGGGCCACTCCAGCTGGTCAGAGTGCAATAATTTCTGCAGCAGGCTTGACTTGGAAAGCTAATCACAACTGCCATGGCTGCAACATGAGTATTACCAGCGCTTTTACAGCGCTACTCGTATATTATTGTCAATCCATTGTGGTGCATGGCACTCGTTTTCAACAACCGAGTTTATGTTATTAGTTGCATATCCAACGCCAATAGAAGAAAGAAGGGGTGGGGCAAATTACCACGGTTCAACACTAGTCATATTGAACGGCGTTATGCCATGCCAGGCGCACACACAAAACGCCCACGCGAGTGCGCATGCATATACACACCCGGGTAACACACATTCGTGCGACTCTACATAGCCTGCACTGTCGTTCTATGTCATAGGAGTGAGTGCACATACATATATATATATATATATATATGTACATGTAGATTGCCTAATTTTGCATACGTAATAAAATTGTGTAAGTATACACACATGTGCGTGCACATATAGACTCAGCGGCATACGCATGAGTGTGTGCCGATAGGGCCACATGCCAATTATCGGATTAGTCTGTGAAAGTTGCACGGCACGACAAACTTTCGAACAGTCTAAAGATATGACACAATGAATGTGGAATGCCCACCAGTGTGTAAGACCATTTCATACCTATTTCGCAGCGTTTGTGATTTTCGGAACGTCCCTGTTGATATTTGATGTCCTCACTTGGTTGATGACACAGTCACAAATTATTATCAAATTCACCTCCAATGCCATCCAGTCTGCGTTCCGCGATACATGTACAGTGAACGGTGTTGAGGAAAGCCATGCAGCAATAAAACAGTCGAGACTCCCAAGCAGAGGATACAATTCAACAGCCGCGGTATTGAAGTACGAATTGTTCTAAACAATTTTCAAGACACAATTACAAAATTTGAAGTGCGTCTTGAAACGTGTTTGAAGTGCTTCGATGTATTTACCTTCGACCTCCCTGAATCGATCCATCCACAGCTACCCGACGAATTTACCAGTCAGTGCGGGAGATGATCGAGCAAGTTATATTTGAAGGTCGCGAGATGTCAGTGGCATTGGCAGGAAATCTACACAAGCGTATTCTGAAATAATTTTCTAAGACTCAGGCGTGATTCAAGAGCGGACTTTGATTTCTCCCTTCTTATAGTACGAGCACCAGTCGACATTGCATTCTTGGAAAATCTTCTGCGAGTGCTGCCTTCCCCTTTCATAGAAAGAACGAGTGAAGAGGGACACTAGCAGCAGGTTCTAGCTAGGTCGCCAGAATTGCAGAAAAGCGAGAAGACGTTTCCTACAACGATTGATCGCACAAAAATCATCGCTAGCGAAAAATTTACTGAAAATCTACACTTTTCAAACGATGCGCGCGCAGAGGGTGTGAGCCACCTTAACTTAAAGGGTATTACCCAAGTACGAGGGTGTTAATACCTCCCGAATATCATCCCGACTGCGTAGCAGGAGGGATGATATGAGGGTACGGTAACACCCGAGTACGCGGGTCAATATCCGACTTATCCCAGGTACATCTACCAGTACGCATTTTGGGGATCGACGCAACTGCGTTCTGAATACAATTACCAAGGTACAGCTATGCCAAAAACAAGATGCTGCCTTTCTTTTCAATCCAGTCAAGGTTTGAGAGCGATGGAGCTCGGGAGACAAGTTGCATTTTAGTAGTTGGACTAGAGAATTGACGAAGATTGCACTGTTATGATACATAGTCATTTGATTCAAAGTAAGGGCCATACTTCAAGTCACGGCGAGATACAGCGTCATTATGGATGCTGGTGCTGACTTCCTTGTCATTGGATCGGCGTGGAACTAACTTTCAACGGTTTGGGATCCTTGCTGAACACTGTCCGTGCAGGCAGTAACCACATTGTACATATCGTCGGACATTGGCACCAGTGAGTAAAGTGCATTTCGTTGTATCAAGACTCTTGGTTGTATCACTATCGGCCACTATGTTGTTGTTGTTGTTTGGCTATATTTAAAGTGGAGTTCCAAAACAGGCCTAAACCTAATGACAATGGTCCCACTGATAATAAGAGAAAAGAAAAATATATAATAATAAGCGGACAAACAGAACCAAGAAGAAGATACAGCTGTAGTTAGATAACTAATATGAGCACGGCAGCAGGGGAAAAAAAGTCACAAGCACGGCAACCGGGAAGAAAGGAGCGAGTGAGTGAGTGAGAGAGAGGAGAGAGAGAGAGAGAGAGAGAGAGAGAGAGAGAGAGAGAGAGAGAGAGAGAGAGAGAGAGAGAGAGAGAGAGAGAGAGAGAGAGAGAGAGAGAGAGAGAGAGAGAGAGAGGGAGAGAGAGAGAGGTAGTGAAGCAGATGAGTTCATCCTAGTTGGCGGTACTGCCTAACACTATGCAATCAGAAGAACGTTGATCTTCTTATATTATAGGCATACTGGATTTGTAGCAGCATCTACGTTTTAGATTGTTCTTGTGGTAATCGTACTGGATACAATGTCATGATAATCACTGCGGGTCGCATCTTGCATCCATATCTTATCTACATCACACATGGATTGCTGAGCTCTTCTTCTTTCACACTGTTGAATATTCTGTACAAGATTTTTCCTCTCACTTTCACGTCTTGTACTTTTCGAGTTGTTACAGTATCTCTCCTTGCAATTAGTAATTTCACTCGGATGGTGATACTTTGTGTACTTTTCGAGTTTACAAAGAGTGAATGAGAACAGATGCACTTCGAAGTCTCCTTTGTGTCGTAGTGTTGAGTTGAATAGTGATTGGAGTTCGTTGTTTGTTTGTGTGTGTGGAATCTGGTTTTGGACGTAGTCACGGAGGTAAGTTCTCTCCGTTCACTTTTACTGTACCGACGGTGCACTCTGCATTGGCATGCTCCCACCCTCTCACGGTTCTGTGTAGTGCATTTTGTCGCTGGGTTCTGATCGAAAGGACTCCAGTGGCAAGATGCATTGCATCGATATCATCCCGCGCGGGATTGTATTGGCTATTATTTCCCGGTCAGCAAGGCTCCTGATTGGCTGAAACAGGCCTATAGTACCGTACCATGGGATAAAGCTTTATAGTACAAGGTCGGTGCCCAGCACGTGCTCTCACACTGCTCTGCGGCAAAGTCCGCGTTTCTCTGAAAAAAGGTGACGTCAACAAAAAATTCCGCCGTGGGCGGGGGTATCTGCAGATTGTGCAGGAGAGATCCGGAGTTGCACACTCTTGTTTATCTACTCTTGGTAGTATGTATATCAGGGAGTCGTACTCAAACCAGGGAGTAGTACAATACCGGTATTTCGATTTTGACAGCATGTTACAAGGCGAGGACGCGTAGTGCTCCTGACTACAACCATAAACCGGTTGGCAGAGTCCCGGTCTTGCGACCATTTGAACCGTATTGGGAAAACCCAGGTTCGGACCAACCGGTTTATGGTTGTAGTCAGGAGCACTACGCGTCCTCGCCTTGTAACATGCTGTCAAAATCGAAAAACATGTTAAACTACCAAGCAAGGCTTCTGTATATACCGGTATTGTACTACTCCCTGACTCAAACGACTCCCATACTACGCGGGATCCAGAATGAGGGGGGAGGGGCTTTCCCCAAATCGGCCAGCCGAAAACGAGACGTATATCTGTAGCTCCGGAGGGCGGTTCGAACGCACCTTCTTCGACGTCCGGGTGTTCAACCCTTTTGCGTCTTCGAACCAGTCCTCCTCCATTTCTGCCACCTACGTTCGCCATGAGAAAGCGAAGAAGAGATCGTATGAAGAGAGGCTGCGGGAGATCGAGCATGCTTCATTTGTCCCGTTGGTCTTCTCGACAACCGGTGGCATGGGCAAGCAATCTGCCTCGCTTTACAAGCGAATTGCATCTCTCATTGCTGAGAAAAGCGGCGAACCGTATTCGGTTGTTATGTCATTTATCCGCTGCCGCCTTAGCTTTGCGTTGCTCAGAGCGAGTGTCATGTGCCTGCGTGGTAGCCGCTCTGTTTTCGCTGTACAGGCTAGTTTGTGTGTTTCTGAACATTCAAGCGATGCCAACGCGAATCCCGCGAATTATTTATTATTTATTATGCACCTGTCTCTTCTTCTGCCTCCTCTACTGTAGTTGCTGCCGAAGCTGGCACTTCCCGTCATTAGTTTTATAGTCTTTAGTTCTTTAATATTATTATTTGCCATGGCGACCCCCGTATTAAAGCCCAAATAGCTGGCAGGGCAGGGTTGGGCCTTTTTTTTCTTTTACCTCACAGGTGTACCGTACAGGAGACCCATATCCTCGAATCAAGGACCCAGCAAAAAGTGGGTCGCGAGTATTTCAAAAAGCGTTTACCGGGCAGCGCTGAAAAAAAACAAAAAAACGAGACATATTGAAAATCGCTAAGCTTAAATTTTCGCCGATTATGGAGGGTTCCTTTCAGAATCGCCGAAAATCTACCAAATGTTGTTGCAAAGACTAGTCCTCGTGTGCTCCGGATGGCAGTCGTGAGTCAGTCAAGTGTCAAGTTCGGCAAGAAGCGTGTGTTCCTAGTTGGAACAATCAACTAACGTGTGTTACTTCATGCATTCAGGAATATAATTTTTATTTTTATCTTTTACTACAAAGCACTGGCCAGCAACATAAAAGGGGAGGTAGACAAAATTGGACGGGTTCATCAGTTGGTCTACGCATCAGGAAGGGGAAATGGACAGAGAAAGGGAGAATAAGCATGAGGAGCTTTCCAGGAGAGGAAGAGAGAGAGAGAGAGAGAGAGAGAGAGAGAGAGAGAGAGAGGATTTCAGAGGCATGTTGCCATGCCAAATTCATGTCAGACACACACATTTCAGGGGTTTTTCGCCGGTACAGATAATGAATTTTGCTTATAATGGAGACTGAGCACTTTATTTTTTGAATGCCACCCCAAGGTGTTCTATTATGTGTAGGGCTGAAACGATTATACCGAATAATCGAGTACTCGTTTGATAACTCTAACGATCGAGCAATCGTTTAGATTACCTTAGATTACCGATTACGATTATTTTGCGTTTTTTAAATTTTTGTCCAGAAAGTATTGTAAACCCTCGTTTTGTGAAGTTTGAATCAGTTTCCGCTTGGAGTATGCAGTTGCCAGGGGTATGGTTCATGTGATTGACTTGAGTCAAAACTGCCATGTTTCGGAGCTACCCTTTCACTAATGCAGATTTGTTGGTATTATGAAGGCATAGTTTGTGGAAACAGAGTAATGTTTGCACAGAATTATGACTCTATTTGCTAACGATTATAATCGAGGGAGAGGCGATTTCACTTTCTGGCACTTGCCTCACGGACTAAAAGGTCAAACAACATTAATTTTTTAAAAGGCAGAGCACGGAGATGGCACTGGCCGTCCATCCAAAAGCAAGACAAGAATAAGACAAAGACGCCATGCATAATCACACTGTCGATTGTAGTCTCCGACTCCTAGCTCTCAGCCACCCTGCCCTGTTCAGGATAGCCCTGGTAAACAATACGTCATTGCCACAGATGTTTGTGATTTCACTGATCACACACACAGCTCCGAAAACCTGATTATACAGTGCTGCTCAATGAAACCCGATCGCGTGAACCACTGCGGCTTGCACACTGCGCCAGATCACAACCAGGTGTTCCCAGGTCTAGGGTTGCAAAGCGCCCGGCGGGGGCATTCACTCGCTTGATCGGATTCAGCACTGTACATGCACTTCAATAATTTCCAGTCTTGGTGAGGACATTCGTTCTCGTCAAGGCTTATCTTCTGCAGTGACTGACGATGGGAAACATGTGATATTATACAGAATACTGCAGCCAGTGCAGGTGCATGTAGCAAGCTCTACACATGATCCATTTCAAAAACTAACAAGATTTTTTTAAAAGCAAACAGGGTTACAGTGTCAAGAAAAAATCACGAACTGATAAAGGAGATTCCAAATCAAAATGCATAGGACTTGTTCAGGCATACTTCGTGTAGAATATTGTTCTGTGAAGGGTTCGGAGGCACATAGTTACTTTACCGATCGCACAGCTCAAAGCCTGATTGTTAAATTGTGATATGTACTTCAAACAAAAATCAATGGTAAGGATAGGACAAACCAATGCACAGCAGTGGCGAGTCTGGAAAATTACAGAAATAATTTCACTTCGTATGATAGGAAAAGATCATTCCAAGAACATCCGTTCCGAGTACTTTGGCAGTCCGGCCGTCCGACTGGTGGACCAGATACTTGGCTTTGGAGACGACTCTACTGTTCAGGTTCTTCAAGTGACAGTGCTAAGGCAACACGAGGGGTGTGCGGTGTGGCAAATGCCGGCGTACACACAGTGCTGGATCTACTGGCATTGATTGATCTCAACACCTGCACAGCAGCAGCAGCAGATAGAAAGGAACGATACAGCAGCAACCACAAGAACATCACGGTGAAAATACTCCCAGGCGTAAAGCAAAGCATACAGATACGCATGATACACATGCTTTCGAAACAACATAGTCGACATACTCCACATGTAAAACACTTGACACACAACACTTTGAAAAGCAGACTTTGCAAGACACCAGTGGCGCAGAGCTTTTGCATGTACTGTATAAGTACAAATTTTCGTTTACGAATTCTTTCGTTAGATCACTCCACCAGCAGGTTCGTTCCGTACTAAATTTCGTTTTTGGTCGAGGTCTGTGTGGCGCCGCACGTTCAGAATTTTTTTTTAGTTTGGTACAAACTATAGTTATATCGTGCCCCCTAACGAACATAACGAAAGTTAATTCCAAACGAAAATTTGTACTTGTACAGTACTGGAATATCTACGGTAGGAAAAGCTGCTTGACCAACATCCGACCCTGAATCTGACTGAACTTCTCTCCATCGCTAGTGAACAAGCCGGAGTCTGATATGCAGCAGACCCAGCCACTATCGAGCATAATAGTGCCCTCCAACTGCACTGGCTTGCACAGAGGCACACACATTCACAGTCATCCAAAATTTCGCCAATGGCTCAACAATTTCAGCGCAAAAGCTGTGAGCCACATCACTTAGAAGGTGAAATGGCCATTTTGCCGCCTCTTCTCATAGCGATCATAACTCTTCCCATAGCGATCATAACTCTTCCCATAGCGATCTTGCAGAGAAAAATGGCCGAGGCAAAAGGTTGCCGACAGTCGATTAGGACCAAAGGGGCAGGAGGTGTTAGAGACATCCTATTTTGACATTGAGTTCGACATAGTGAGGACGGTGCTTATCTCCTCTCCCCAACCGAAATCTGGTGCCCAACCCCAGACGGGTGTCCTTACAAGTTACAGGGTAGAAATAAGTCCTCATTCAAACTGAATATTGAGCCATTTTGCTGCCACGCACGTGGCTGCGAGTGTGGTTTCGCGGCGCGCTTCTGGAAACCGCTGTGGTGGTTAGTGCATAGTGGTTAGTGTGAATTCTCCGCTGGACAACTACCCCATACACCATGGACCAGGGGATGAGTGAAATGTGCAATACAAGCCTGCTGGTTGGCTGCTTCCACAACATGACAAGCAATCAATCTTGATGGTCCGTGTGCCGAACACCATATTATTGCACCAGTGATTTACTGCAGGTGACAGAGACCTACAGCAGGGAAACTATGCATGGTTGGCATACTTCTTGAGCATTGCACATTTGCCTCAATTCCAAATCCAAACATGACATTGCGTGTTCGATTCTGAGTGCATATGAACAGAGCCTACACAGCAAGCGACCCATCAGAAGATGTCTACATGGCTTTGGTTGAGAAGGGAAAGGAGATGAGTGATGACCCCATTCCGTCGACCTCATTGAAGCATTAACAATTATAAGTCTCCAATACATTCCTCGCTTTTCGACCAGAATTGATTGTGGACCATCTTAAGTTTGCTATTCTCCTCACAGCACAAAAAAACAAGGAGTGAAATACGGCTCCTGGTTTCGAATGGCTTAGTGCGAACACAATCAGCATGGTGAAAGCCTGCACGCCGCATGCACGTTTGCGCCTGAACTAAACAGTACAAAACCAGGGACCAGATTTCACTCGTCTGGTTCATGAGCATGCATAGAAATGCAAGAGTGTGTTGCAGACCAACAAGATACGGCAAAAACAATGTACATGTACTGTTGTGAACATAGAAATCCGGTGCAATGACCGAGGCCGGCGCCCTACTTGCTTAGCGCGTACATGCATTGTGACACTGTAAAAATTATGGACCAGTACTGCTGCCAGTAGCGCTCACGAATGCACGGCCAGCGCCCCGTGGCCGGTTGACTTCTCGACGGATTTCAACGTCCGAAACAGTACATGTCACAAGACCGGCGGAAGCAGATGTTGATTGGTCCGGCCACACCCTAGCCTTTCATACAGTTTGTGTATGACATGGTGGGAACACATGACGTCCACCACAGCAGTTAACACCCGTTGCCGGTGGCCAAAAGTTGGTCCGGCTATGGCCTGACAAACCGGACCGGTTCCGCCGGGCCTGCGTTATTGTAAATGGTCAATAAACATATGGATGGTGTGCATATGAACCTCATTCAGCCTTACTTGTAAGGAGTTTATGCCCTTTGCAGTGTTGAGCACTGCGCAAACAGAGGACTAACTCAACAAGTTGGGAATGGAGGGAAAAATCAATCTCCCCTCCATTGTCAACTTGTAGTGCAAGCTCTAGTTCGTGTGCTGAGCACTCTCACACCTTAACTTTACGGAAAACCAATGAACACATTATGGAAAATCCTGCGGACTAACCAGTCTTAGTGGAGCTGGTCGGGTGGCAGAGTACAAACGGAAGGACCTTGGCAGCTCTGGATTGTACGGTAGATGTCAGCATTGTACTGTCGCCCAGCCAGCAGAGTTTCCGCAAAGTGGCAAACCGCGCTATCCTGGAGGTTCTGAAGGTCAGAGATGAGGGTGAATGCCGCATCGTGGGCTCCATTCGCCTTTTCTTCAACTCTGATCTTCTCCAGCTGGCCATTTGTCAGATATCCTTCGGCCCAAAGTGCCTTGGCGAATACAAGGCCTGGGATCTTCTGCTCCAATGCTGGCGAATGCTTGCGTATAGCAGCACGGTAACGAGTGGCGCGTGAAGAACAGTCCCCATCATCAATCGCACTAGCGCCAGCCACAGAGGAGTCTAAACAATGGTAAGCATAACACAAAAAATCGTATTCTTCAGATGTCCATCCAATGCATTCCCCTAAATCATGGGTTGAACCGGTGTGTCCTGCAATACGAACTCAAGAATGGACACCAGTGCACACTGCGTGTTCTGCATTGGGAGCAACCAACTTCCATGCTGAGACCACAACCATGAAGCCCACATGGTAACGGGCTTGCAGACAAGAGCAACACTGGAAGCCTACCTTCACATATGCAATTTGCCAATTTCAAGCCTTTCACAGTGTTTTCTCAAAGTGTGTATTTTCATGATCATAATCTCCGAGCAGGATGTATGTAATCAAGCACGCTCAGGAGGTCATGATGGCTGAATCTTGCCCGAGCCTGCAGCCCAAGGGCCGTAGGCTCGAGGGCTGCAGGCAAGGGCAAGATTCAGCCATCATGACAGACAGAGCGTGCTTGATTTGATTTCTTACAGCGCGAAGCAACATATTAGGGAAGGTCAAAGGTCGAAAGATTATTCCCGAAATGACGTCAAACGGTCCTGACATTCCCGAAATGACGTCAAACGGTCCTGACATTCCCGAAATGACGTCAAACGGTCCTGACATTCCCGAAATGACGTCAAACGGTCCTGACATTCCCGAAATGACGTCAAACGGTCCTGATGGCCTGATTACGCCCGCGGCGGGAAGATCGCCTATTGGCCATGGCCCCGGCAACGATCACGGGTCATGTAAGAATTGGGTTATCATTTCCTGACAGAAACCAAATTTCCAGGCAATTAGGTTATGTTTTCAGTACACTCAACTCGCAACACACGCACAGTCCCTAGCTACACCACGCACAGTAAATTGTCCACATTTTCACCCAGGAGGGCACCATCATGGATATAGGAGAAGAATGATACAAAGTTGGCTGTTATAATAAAGATAGTACAGGGACAGTCACACAATTCACGCTACTACATGTAATCTGCAACAAGTTCAGGGCTCACCACGACCACGATCATTTGGATTTGACCAATCAGCGCACGGCAAAATTGCCGGTTTTGTGCAATTTCGGGGTGTATTCTGAGTTAAAAACTTGGCTGTAACCGTTGCTTTTAGACATCAGGCCATTGCGAATTCGTGTTCAGAAGGTGTGTGTTCGGAGATCTACCGTCTCGAATTTTTCGATCCGGCCTTGGTTGGGCTGAGATCGAACAGTGAAATCAGTTGTTATTCACGTACTTCCTTTCATGATACAAGGGGGGAAATGGAAAATCGGGGACGGTAACTCGATAGAGAATTCCAAGACAGAAAAAATGAGCAATCGACGGGGAGAATCGGCGAAGTGGAACCGCGGTTCTACTTTTTTGAAGACATCACGGTCGGCCGTGCGTTCCCGCGCGCACCAACAACACCTGGCAGCCGTGCGCATATCTGCAAGTGCAATAAGAAAGGACCGAGGAGACAGCAAGCGTTTCAAGTGAAGAGTTTACCTTCGTGTTAACTCAAGCTAAGGACTCAGGTCACCAAGGGATAATACCAGTCAGTTGTCATCATGGTCATGACTAAGGAATTCATTTGTGGCCAGGAAATCCACACTCGCAGGGTGAAAGCTGCGAGGCCAAACAGAAAAGAGAGTGCCGAGTCGCGATCAGGAAACTTCTACTGACAACATTGGTTAGCTAGGAGCGGAAAATTCTTGTAGATGCCAGGATTCCAGTTCACCAGTACCTCACGGACATATCTTGATCAACACGCACCAGCGGATTGAGAAAATAGACCAAGATGGCTTGGAGAAAGGACGTCTTCTCCACGTGTCTTTACCGGCATCAAACAACAACATTCGCTTTGGCACTGGCCCTTCGCGGTACATACTAGACCAGGGAGTCATAAAATACAGGTAATTTTAATACAGGACTCGACTGTATACCGATCAGCATGAGCTCGGGTGTGTAGCCGCTATGACTGCACAAACTCTGGCCTCCGCGGCCTTCACCATTTCTTCAAAATGGTGGTCGACGCTTTTTGAATTTTGCATGGTCGTGGTGAGCCCTCAAGTTACAAGCTAGCACTAAGACATAACAAATTCACAATGTAAGTGAGCATTTCATCAAGTGCAAAGTGGGCGTGAGACAGCCATGATTGATAGATGTGTGTGTGTGTGTGGGGGGGGGGGGGTATGTGTGTGTGTGTTGGGGGGGGGGGGTACGAGTCAAGGTTGGAGTGTGTTAATCTTCTCAAGTTCTCAAGTCAGGCGTCGCTATCCATTCCCTGTGTTGAATCTGAGACCCCTACTCGTGATAACAAGGTGCGGGATGCCCAGTGTGTAGATCTTCCATGTGCCGGGAAGTGTGATTTATGCCGATAGGCGCCAACCCTTGTCAATGTTCACCTTTGGTCGTCGATTTCTGCTCTCTGTTGCCTCAAGGTACTTGCGTGATGGAAGAGAAGGCTCCCTGCCGAGAATCTTCGCCAGGTGGAAGGGCTGAAATTGAGATGTGTGAGATTCTCGGTGGTGGGTTTTGTAGTGGTTGCCCCATGGAGCTTTCTCCGCCATTGTCCTCGCTTCCCGGTAGTGCTCCTGAAACCGCTCCCGTACAGGCCGCTCGATTTCCCCGTCGAACAGCTCTTGACAAAGCGTGCACAGCATACTGTAGACAGCATGCTTCACCACACATTTACGATCAGACATACCCGTATCACATGCTCTACATACCATTGGTGCACCACGACCACGCTTCACCTTTGCTCTCTGCACCCGGCTCACGGGGACATACACGGGCAGGCAATGATGACCAAACAAGTTTTCTCTTCAGTGACGGACCAGATGTGAACACAACTCAACACCTCGAATGGATACCCCCCCCCCCCCTCCCTCCCCCCCTCCACACACACACACACACACACACACACACACGCACACATGAACTCAATCATGGCTGTCTCACACCCACTTTGCACTTGATGAAATGCTCACTTTAATACCTTGTTATGACTTAGTGCTAGCTTGTAACTTGTTGCAGATTACATGTAGTAGCGTGAATTATGTGACTGTTCCTGTACTGTCTTACCGTATTTCCCCAATTATAAGACGCACTCGATTATAAGTCTCACTCCCACTTTCAGGTTTAAGCCATATTGTTTCAATCCACTCACTTCGGTAGGAAGTCAAACTCGATTGTAAGTCGCACCCCCTTCTTCGGCCTTGAAGTTCAGTGAAAAATCGTGCGACATATAATCGGGGAAATACGGTATATCAGCCAACTTTGTATCATTCTTCTCCTATATCCCTGATGATGCCCTCCTGGGTGAAAATTTGGACAATTTACTGTGCGTGGTGTAGCTAAACACTGTTCATGTGTTGCGAGTTGGGTGTACTGAAAATATGACAAGGCTATAGTGGAGTTTCAAAGTTATTTAAAAAAAATCAGGTTATGATTCAAGACAGTTGCTGCAGATTTTGCTTCTGTGGACCCGTTCTCTTGAGAGAGAGAGAGAGAGAGAGAGAGAGAGAGAGAGAGAGAGAGAGAGAGAAAGAGAGAGAGGGAGAGAGAGAGAGAGAGAGAGAGACATGGCTGAATAGTTGCCAGGAAAAATTATGACACAAGCAGTGCATACAGACATTAATTATATGCCGCCTCCCTCTTCAACACACACAGACACACACACCGGCACACACACACACACACACACACACACATAATTATATTAGAACCCCCTCTCCCCACCCCCTTCGCACTCACCATCAACTACTTGTACTGGCTTGCTTGGCTTGATCTGCAGAAGCGGTTGCGGGAGAGAATGAAATATAGACAGTAGTAGTTGTGAGCAGTGCAGAGCCAAGACAGTGCGCACAACTATAGCATAGAGCAGCGGAAAGTGTAACCCTGACCTCATGGATATAGCCGAGCCATGCTCCCTACGCCGACCAGTGCTGAAAATGTTACGGCCACGCAGCCCACGGGACGGTCGTATCCATTAGGTTGGATGTCACTTGCCAACACTCTACATGTGCTACTGTAAGTCAACAAATAACTTTTATCCGGCGCATATTTATTTTCGGCTATTTTCGGCCAGGTCATGTTTGGCCGAAAATTTGTTACGGCCGAAAATTTGTTTTGCAAGGTTCAGTGTGATAGTGTATACGGCCACAGTACAGGCCGAACATTTGATGCGGCCGAAATGGGTTTTAGCCCTGGGAGGCCGAAATTTGTAGATTTACAGTATACTCATGCACTGTCCGGAAAAGACAATATTGTGCAGGTCTTGGCCACACATCAAAGTCATGAGGAGAACATAAACCAGAGTGCGTAACTACGGTCATGTTTGGCCCACTGCGGGATGTTTTCTGACATCAACTTTTACAGAGATCGTTTCTTTAAAACACTCCACCACTCCACATTGCGCTCTTGGCCCACATTCACAACACCAGGAGCATAGTGTGGAGTTGTGTGGTGGTGGAGTGTTTAAAAATTTCAAATGGCCAAGTTCATTGCAGCGTCTACATCACTTCTTTAGTTATGATACTAGTATGAAGGTGGGATTCACAGCTTAGAAAACTTCCAAACTTCCTTTTTACATCCTATGCTCCGCAACCCAGAGTATCACAACTTATTATTATTATTATTTGTGCTCCCGCGTCAATGGGCTCGCCCAAATTCGCTTGCACCGAACCATGCGAAAAAAGGCCGCCAGCAGGCAGGCAGGCAAAGAAAAATAGAAAATGGTGTCACATAAACTAATACAAACAAGAATATCATTATTGATGACATTAATATACTGAATGAATGGCAAAGGCCATGTGAATACGGATAATACGGATAATCAGAGTACCAACAACAAAGAATGTAGCTCAAACCATTGCAGTGCCAACCTCCTTCACCAGTACTCTGCCTTGTACGCATCTGTAACTGCGTTGCACAGATATGTCCATTCATGGCGATCCAGTGCTCGCTGAGCCATCAGCTGCAAGTCCCTTGGAGTCCTCAGACGGCAGCCGACTCGCTCCGCGTCTTGATTCAGCAGGACTGGTAGCGTGATCCGCGGCCGCCCACGGTATCCCGGCACGGAGCAGCCAAAGAATCCACTCATGGCCTCCCTAGCCGGTGTGTGCTCATCTGATCGCAGGATGTGGCCAAACAACCGCCATCTTGCATTCACCAGAATGTTGCCAAGTGGAGCAGCACTGCAGCGCTCGTAAACCAAATCATTCGACAGTCGGTTGGGCCACCTGATACCCAAGATATGCCGAAGTTGCCGCCGATGATACGATTCCAGCGCTTCAATTGTCTGTCGAGTGATGCCCCATGTGGAGCAGTTGTAAAGCAAGACAGGTAACACGAAGCAGTTATACAGCCGGACGCGCACCTCCAGACTCATTTGGTCTCTTCTCTTCCATAACTGGCAGAGGGACTTAAACGCTATCGCCGCAAGCTGCTTTCTGCGGGTGACATCCTCTGCATCACCAAGGAGAGAGCCGAGTTTCTTGACCATACGCCATGGCTCATCAGCACGATCGGCCTCTCGCTGGATGGCTGTGAATTCTGTCTTGGTCTGGTTGACGGTAAGGGACCATGTACCCAAGATGGTGGCAACCTGTGGCCCTAACATCCGAAGCCAATCACTAGAGATACTGATGAAGTCCACATCATCGGCGTACTCCACATCGTACGGAAGATGCCGGGCCACAGGTGCAGCCATTCGCTGTCGCACATCCTGCAGGGCAGCTTCCAGGTAGATCACGAATAGAATATCACAACTGTATAACTAAAATTACAATTTTACAAGCGAAACTTTTATAAAGGAAAAAATGTTTTCCCAAGATTCAAAGTGCTCCGCATGTAGCTGCATAGTAAATGCCTTGCACAAAGTTGTACAGGATGGATCAAGATCGCTGGAAAGTGGATAACAGAACGTTTAAAAAAAAAAAATTCACGGTTCGCGTGAGACTCGGCTGGAACGTTTAGCCGTGGACTAATCAACCAGCGGAGTTGCACACTCCGACAGAACATGTAGTCATCGGAGAAAGTAATTCGAGAAAAAAAGTTATGATCTAGGGTTGGTACTAGTATGCGGAAAAAACTTCTAAGGCTCTAGGTTTTTTGGTGTTGAATAGTCTCTGTTGGGATGACAACTACACCCAAGGTCAGTAGTTAGAGCATCGCTAGCCTCAAGCTAAGGTCACTGGTTCCAGTCCTGGTGGCGATAGGAAATATTTTCTTCAGACTATTTCCCTTTTCCATTCCATCACCCAATGATCGTTCTAGAATACAGTTCTTTATCACGTCAGGCCATGCACTCACCGACTTCTTGGTCATTAGTATAGGCCAGAAATCTGCTAGAGCTGATTCATCCTGGGCAACCTGACTCCTTGGACACCGCGGCTTTTTCTTGTCGATGAGTGGGATGAAGTGCACGCACTCCAGCTCCTGGCAGTTGGGCTTGTTATGGCGCTTGCATAACTTCTTGTTCAACGAACAGCGGCAGATGACTGACCTCTGGATTTTCAAATTTTCCAGACCGTTTGCCTTCAGGTCCTGGAGCTCCTCCTCCAGGAAAGGAAGAAGGTCATCACACATTTCTGGTATGCTTCCGGGGTAGCCATCATCCTCATCATCGCATCCGACCATGGCTGCTGCGTCACCTTGTTGCTCGACAGTAACACGGATTCCACGCTGGAAGTGTTGGAAGATAACATGGAAGTTGTCATAGCATAGGATCTGTGCAGCATTGTGGTACAGAACCGGGTCCTCCGACGGGCAATAGTGTGCCAGGCAGCGGACCAACAGGCACCAGAAAAGCGTGCCTGGGAAGAACTGGCGCTCGTCGCAACACAGGAAGATTGGTGCCGACTTCTGTGCTTCCTGCAGCTCCATTGGCTTCTCCAACATGAGGGTGACCATTGAGGGCACGAAGAACTTGCGTGTTTGCTCACCGGTGGTCTCTATGGTCATTGTTTGTTTGGTGTCGTACAGCAGTGAGAACTCCTGCATCACGTTGAACAACACATCACGGTCCTCTTGGCTCTCTGTGTAGCGCTGTGTCTGTTCAACGTCACCGTGTTGTTTCCACAGCAGCTTGGCAAGGCTCTCTGTCAGAATGCCACGCTCTGCCAGCAGATCATACTGTTCACGGAAAAGCTTTTCCTGGCCCCCCTTGGGCTGCGGGCAGAAGAGCAAACTGGTGACATTGGTCAACCAGTGCACATCGGTGAACACCGTATCTTCCAGCTTCGTGTTCCTGGCGTAGTGCCTCAGATGACCGAGATCATGGTAGAATGCCAGCATATCCTTCATGTTCACAGGCTGGGGTGACTTCTCACAAGCTTTCCGAACAACAGTCTCCACATCGTGTAGAGAGAGCCACGAGACTTTCTCGGCCTTGGCATGTTGTCTGAGTACAAACGACGCCGGTAGCCATGTGAGTGGTGTTGGATATACAAACTGCTCAGCGAGTGACTCAATGATACGTCGTCGCAGCTGCACAACACTCTGATCTTCCTCCCCACTGCCAGACAGAGTGTTATTGACAAACAGGATGTCATCGATGCAGTTCTCATAGAACTTTCCTCTTGCATTACTCCAGATGTATTGCTTGATTTCTTCGAGCTTTTCACCTCGTTGTTCAGCTGGAATCTTGTCGATCTTTGTTCCGATGATGAAGAGAGGAGCAGAAGCTTTGCTTTGCGTACCAATCACCTGTGAAATGACATTGAGCCAGGACTCCAAGATGTCGAAGTTGGTAGCGCCAGCGGTGCCTGGAATGTGAATCTCCCTACCGTCCTGACCCATGGTGGGTACGTGTGGGTCCTGCAGAGGCTCAGAGGCGTCAAACACTACCAAATAGGCGCAGCGCAGAGCTGAGAACAGAACATGCTGAACTGCTGCGAACAGTTCTTGTCCAGCGAAATCCCAGATTTCCAGGAACGCAAACTTCTTCACCAGTTCAGCAAATCTCTCCTCAAATCCAGCACTGATGGATGACAAGAACTGGTTGGAGTAGTAGTGGATGTCTGCATCGGCGGGTAGTCCGCGCGCTGTGCTCTCAGAGGAATTCCGACTGCGTTTCCTGGTTCCGATATCTTCTCCCTTTCGTGATGATGTGCGAGTATCCAAGCCGCGGGCGCTGTCAGCAGGCTTTGTAGCCGTTGAAGATGGTGTTTTGTCCGATCTGCATTTCTCGACCACAATGGTTGCAGGTGACTTGCCATCGGAGTCTTTGTCATGCTCTGGTGTCACTGGTTTTTCCAAGTCTCCGGTAGCAAAAGAACTTGTACTTGAAACTGCCGGTAGAGTATCCACTGTCGCACTACCAGCAGGATCAGCTTGAATGGATGCAACAGCAGACACGGTGTCCTCATTTCCGTGTGGAGTGAGGTCGGAATTCGTGCTGGGATCTCTGATGTAGTCACCAATCAGCTTCTGAGTCAGCAGACAGAAGAAGTGAAATTCATCCTCCTCGATACGCCATGTGTAGTGATCGCCATCTTGCTCAACGGTGCAGACGGCTTTCCTGAGCTCAACGCCAAGCGTGCTGTCCACCACCTCTTTGAACAGCAGATTCAGCAAGGACATGGCTAGACAAGTCTTGCCCGTTCTACCTTTTCCACACACCAGCAGTCGACCATGCGGGATAGCAAACTTTCCATTCTGAAGAGCTTTCTGATATGCTTCAGTGTTCACGCCTTGCAAGGACTCTGTACAGGCAGCAAACAACGGAGAAAGAAAGGAACTTGGCGAAGGTTCACGTGGGGATGGACAGACCAATTATTCCACTTTTGTTGTTGGACATAACTAGGGCTGAAACAATCGTGATATTTCCTTAGTGGCTTAGCTGATATCATAACAAAGGACCATGTTAAATGACATGTCAAGTTGTAGGCACTCTCGTGTTAGTCTACTACTACTACCCTCTCTGTCTCTTCCAGCCTGCACTCCAGTATACTCGTACGTGCACCAAGCCACAACTGTCAACAAGGAATCAAGAGAGTTTGAAATATCTAAATAGTAGTAAAGTTGGGAGAAAAGAAACTGTTCTTTTTCCACAAGGTCCATCAGGAAAAAGGACATGCACAAAATGGCGACCACGTCGTCCATCAACGTGTAATCCAGAGAGCCCTACACATACCAATATTGATATGGTATATGTAGGGCTCCCTGATGTAATCATTGTAATCAAACAAAACAAACTAGTGCAGCGACCAAAGAAAAGATACAGTTGAAGAAGAAGAAACAGCCCTGCAGCAAGAAGAGCGGATCGCTGCAGACGCTAAATTGCACTAGCCTACTACTGACTGTAGATAGTAGTTTCACATGAGCATGCGGTCACATGGTCATGAAACAGAGTGCATACACACTCACGTCATGCCAATACGTCATACATGACAAAAAGAGAAGAAAGGAAAGTCACGCGCGATACTACTGCAAATACTACTAGGAATTTGTTCGAGAACAAACGCACAAGAATATGAATCTCTTCGAAACTAGAATGGAGTTTGTAATGAGAATTCTTAGAGAAGCTAGGGATCTAGAACTCGGCGGAGAATTCGGCTAACTATTCCAACAAGCCTGGACTCAGCTACAAAGTAAGAGTGCAATCATGTAGAACAACACACATAAATATTATCGTACTAAATATATACACAGTCGATTTTCCGGAGTGTTTCCTCTAATTATTCACACTCGCCTCTTTTGCTAACTTGTCTCGCCACTATTCACCATAGTCAACATAGTGATCAATTTCACCCTCGTTGATGCGTTGTTTTCTTCCGATAATTATGTTTCTTCTTCTTTCTTTTTCCTTCTCTTGCCATGGCTGGCTAACGCCCCTCCTTTGCATTGGCTTTTGCCATTGGACGGTGAAATAAAAAATAAATAAACGAGAGAGCTTGGAAGCTCAGGGCCCTACGCTATGCTTTTTTGCCTAGCGAGAGTCAACTTTCTCTTTGCATTCGAATGTAGTACGACACCGTCTACCACCTTCATGACCTAGGCAAAAAAAAGAATAGGGATGCTATAAATTTTTCATTTCTCCTATTTTTTTAGACATAACCTAGGGTTCGAACCCGCACTATCGCCCTGCATGCATTCCCTAGATACACTTCGTATACATACTCATTCTTCCAAGTTGCTTCACGTTATGATCTTGCATTTGAAAGCTCTATTTGAATATTGTGGCCGGCTGTCTTTGATGGTACGGTAAGGCACAGGTAGGGGATAGCGCCAGGCATGCCGCGCCGATGCTATAATTATGCTGTCCTTGATGGTACGGTACGGGACAGGTACGTATACGGGATACCGCCAGGCATGCCGATGGCACAAACAAACAAACACGGAATTAAAGGGGAAGTTAAGGCAGGCAGGCATAGTGGGATGGTCTAAGACCATGATTGAGAAACAGAGGGTACCAGGTTCAAGTCCTGCTTGGAAGCGGAAGGATTTTTTCCAGCCGTGCTGCGACCCACAGTTAATTGGGAACTCGTGGCCTGGCACGAGGGAAACATGGATGCAGTGAATGGGATTTCGGTCTTTGACCACTTTGTGGTGGGTCTGATCTACTCACCTCTCACCGTTTAGGAGCTGCATCTGCGCCTTGATCCAAGAGGGTGGTGGCGTTCCTGCTGATGCGGAAAACTGGGCCTTTGGCCGAGTCTCACGCGAACCGTGAAATTATTTTTTTTTAAGGCAAAAATTAAAATGTCACCAGTCTTCGGGGTGCTGAGTCGAATGGTCGTGGTCCGAGGAAGCTGAGACGCTCCCTTCCTACTTGAATCCCAATCGAACTCTCGCACTTCTACCGAAACTGGGTGACTGCGCCCTACTAGATGGGGATTTGTATGCAAAATGTCACTAAAAGCGCCATTTCGTTCTTATAAAAGCATGGATGACCGCGATTGGCCCATATGTTGTAGTCTTTTGGACGCTGAGTCGATTGGTTTTCGTCCGAAAAGGCTGCGATGCAGCGTTTCTCCTTTATTCCCAATCGAACATGGTTGAACAAGCGGTCACGTGCTCCTGCGTACACCAGTCACCTGGTCACCGACTCACCGTGCCTGCAGGGTACAACTTACTAGCCTGTTTGACCTTTTTTGGGTGCAGTCCTGTCACTCAAGTTGAACTCGAGTTGAACCTTGGTGTGAAAGTTGTCGCCTGCTGGCGTGGTGACCAGGTGATTTGGGCACCCAGGAGCACGTGACCGCTTGTTCAACCATGTTCGATTGGGAATAAAGGAGGAACGCTGCATTGCAGCCTTTTCGGACCAAAACCAGTCGACTCAGCGTCCAAAAGACTACAACATGTGGGCCAATCGCGGTCATCCGTGCTTTTATAAGAACGAAATGGCGCTTTTAGTGACATTTTGCATACAAATCCCCATCTAGTAGGGCGCAGTCATCCAGTTTCGGTGGAAGTGCGCGAGTTCGATTGGTATTCAAGTAGGAAGCGAGCATCTCAGCTTTCTCGGACCAAGACCATTCGACTCAGCACCCCGAAGACTACAACTGGTGAAATTTTAATTTTGGCCTTAACTTCCCCTTTAAAGCTGTGCGGACCCTGGCTAGCGCCAGACGTTACTGAAGTAACGTCTTTTGCATAGCTACAGGAATAAAAAAATTACTATCAGCTTATCGGCTTAGCGACATATTTTCACTCCATATGGTACACAAAACACAATCATGGAACGACATCAGTTTTTTTAATCATATTATGGGATTACGTGGATATGAATTCTACACAATTGTGGTAGCTCAAGTGAGATTAGCTCTCTGTACACCTGCGTGTAGGGCATCATGTACTTAAAAAGGGAGAAGGTCAATACAATTTTAGCATTTCTGTAACTCTGGAGTTTCATCAACGAGCACTAGCCAACCGTGCTGTGAGGATGGTGATCACCTGTGCGTGAAACTCAGTTTAATATTCTTCTTTCGAGTTGCAATGACCAACTGCGACTACTAGTACCCTGTCGAGATTCAGGTCGGCGAGTATCTCAGTCCCGTGGAACCAGACAGACGTGGGTGACTGGTGGAGTTGCCAAGTAACGCTACTCGACAATATGCAACGCTTGTCCGTTGTCCCAGAAGCCGAGGTTCTCTGGTCTGATTCCGTAGCCACGCCTGCAAGGTGACCGAGTTGGAATATCGATGGGTTTTCCAACTCGAGGTGAGCGAAGATGTACCCCGTCCTGCTCTTCCGGTGGAACGTTTTTTCTTCTTTGCTCAAACAGAAGTATGTTTCTCTACACCACGCTCAAAATTCATCCACACTCCAGTCCTCGGCTTGCTGGAAAACACCTTGGCAAAGGCGAGTGTTCGAGAAAAGGCGAGTCCACTAGTAAGGGAAAACTACAATTTTCGAATGGTGAGTCCATCATGTTCATTCCCATTCAAGAAAGTAGTTTTTAGCGAAACATTTTTCTTGCCACACGCACGGTAGAAATTATCAAATGTTGTGCTTTTTTCAAGCCGATTAGCCGATAGCAGCTAAAATACTCATTCGATATCTTTTCCAACGAGTAATTACCGAGTAATCGGTATAATCGTTTCAGCCCGAAACATAACAGTCCATGTTACGAGATCTACGGGTTCAATTTCATACTAGCAGTAGTAGATGTACATTTGCCATCGGCGCTATTCGTAGGTGATTGTGACACGTCAGGTTGAGTGCTCTAGCAAGGTGCATGTTGGTCATGCCGCATTTAAATTGTAGATAGATAATAGTGAATTCGGATGTTGAGCCACTGACAATAATAGCCGCTGACAATAATTTAAAATAGAGAAAAGAAAAGGAACATAATATTATGGTTACGAGTTAGAGTAACTGTCCACCACCGTAACTAGATACTATATACAGTCAGAAAGTGCAACAACTAGGCAAAAAAACTGACAGAGTACTGAGACAATCGACGACCTGACACCAACTTCCTCCGTATACAAAACTTCGTGACTTTTTTTCAACGGTGTTTTTGAGCAAGAACCTGCTCAGCGAACTGCGCCAAAGGCTGTCATCGACAACCCACATTCATGTTGAGGTAAGTTTGGTTGATCCCGAACAGATTCACCACGGAAGCCATGCGCGTGAGGACGTTGCCGACAGGAACTCATGAGACGAAAAAAAACTATTGTTGAAACGAGCGTATCTATAACAAACGAGCGAACAGTTTAACGAGCAAGCTATCGAGCAATCTAACGAGTTTTATTGATGTGGCAAATATGGTTTTTTTTTTAAAATTCTAAGTAAATAGTTAGATTTTTTTCAGCTGGTTCAAATTATCACCGCCGGCATTTGGGGTTGCTGCTGTTTGGTGTCGAGATGTCTTTTCAGCGCCGTCGTTGAGCAGCCTTTGAAAGAATAGACCGTTTTGCAAAGATTGCAAGTAGCCCTGTTCTTCGCTGCATCGCGGGAGAACACTTCCAAACGACTGAGCGTAACTTTCACTCAAATGGAGAGTTGACAGAAGCATGTCCTGCGACAGGTCAGCAGATGTCAAACAAGACATCAGTAGAGTCCACCAAAGCTGCAACGAGAACTGAAACAATTCAGTGTCGTTCAGGCATACGGTCACTGTAACTGCGAGTGGTTTTCACTTTGCGAGAGACTGGACTCTCGATCGACCAGGAAGTCGTAAAAATTAATATTTTACGACTCCCCGGTCGACATGTACCGGTACTTTTTTTTGCGGTCCAGATAGCGACTAAAGGTA